GCTCATCTGCAAGAGCTTCTTTTGGAAGCCAGAAGTCTAGCACAGAAATCAGATCTTTGCAGCCCCACCAGCCTTCCTGACAGCTCTAAATTTACTGTTCAAAAGGGCCAACCAATTAGACTCCCCCCCTCTACACACACACACACACACACACACACACACACACAGAGGGAGGGAGGGAGGGAGGGAGATAATTTTATATTGGAGGGAGAGTGAAGATAAGACTGTTTAAGTTGCCTGACAAGGTGCTGACAGGCCTCAAGGGGCATTTCTGACTTAGAATAAGGGGTGTCACACCACACAGGTCTAAGAATGTCTCAGGCCATGAACAGTCCCTTCCTACTGGAACCCACATTTAGCAGTTATGGTACTATTCAATTATTCAAATCCTTTTGTACTGAAATTGGCTGTTTCTGGGTCCAATTTAGATTGCTAGCTTTGGCCTTTAAAGCCTGAAATGGTAGGGCCACATTAGCCAAAGAACTGCCTATTCCAGTGATGCACAAATCACAGATAGCAGTTCAGACAAAGGTCAATTCACACCAGCCCAGCCCATCCTCTTCCTCTTCTATGTAACACCACCCTGTCCTCCCTGAGCATCTCCTTTGGTCTGCAAGTGGGAATAATCAGCCATTGCCACTTTTCACTTCTGTACCCCATTGGAAGGATCAATGTATAAAGGGTTGCTCAGGTGTGCCATCTGGAACAATATATCGGTAGCCAGTTATTCTTGGAAATAAGTCTTGTAAAAGAAAACCTTCCCCTGTTGCATATTTTTGGCACACACACCACAGGACACGGACCATTTGGTCAACACCGGCAGGAGGCTGCCGAAGCACTGGAAACAGCCTCACTTTCTGATCCATCAGCAAAAACCATTATGCTTATGGTTACGAGCGACAGTAGCCACACACCTTTGAAATTCCCTCCCCAGGAAGATACTTATTAAAACCAAGCAACCAACCCTCACTGAAGAAACATTGAACCCTGTCTGTATTTGCTATTTTAAAAACCTTTCCTTGTACCATTTCTGGGTATGACTTTTAATTGTAACGGTATTTGCTGGTGTTTTATCGTCTTGTAAGCCAATTTATGAGAGCAATATGCCCTCAATGGTGGGTTAGAGATTTTAAAAACATGAATGAATGAATGAATGAATGAATGAATGAATGAAATGCCCATTTCCCCATCAACACTTGAGCTGGTCTCAGGGGCACACCAGGACTCAGACCTGAACTCTTTGCTTCTGTGTGCAGCTGCCCCATGAGATGGAATGAAGCCCTGAGTGTCCTTCTGGGCAGTTCTCCCAGGACACAAGAGTGGTTTCCTGGCTGAGCTGAAAGTCAGCGTGTTCTACTCTGTTCTTCGTCTCTGAACGGCTGATTCTGATCATCTGATTCCTTCCCTCCCTTCTGACAGCTGCCCTGACACAGCCTTTTAACCAGTTTTTGCAGAGCGTTTGTATAGTCAAGGCTGTGGTTTTCCCAGTTGCAATGTATGGCTGTGAAAGTTGGACCATAAGGAAGGCTGAGTGCCAAAGAATTGAGGCCTTTGAACTGTGGTGCTGGAGGAGACTCCTGCGAGTCCCCTGGACCGCAAGGCAATCAAACCGGTAGGTCCTAGAGGAGATCAACCCTGACTGCTCTTTAGAAGGCTAGATAGTGAAGATGAAACTCAAGTACATTGGCCACCTAATGAGAAGGAAGGACTCCCTGGAGATGAGCCTAATGCTGGGAACAATAGATGGCAAAAGAAGAAGGGGACGGCAGAGGATGAGGTGGCTGGATTGAGTCCCTGAAGCAGTTGGTGTGAGCTTAAGTGGACTCCGGGGGATGAAGGAGGACAGGAAGGCCTGGAGGAGTGTTGTCCATGGGGTCGCGATGGGTCGGACACGACTTCACAAATAACAACAACAAACCTATTTTGTATCTGTTTTACTACAAGAATTTCCAGAGCCAGATTAGTCTGTTGTGGCAAAAACAGCAAACATCCATGCTGTACCTTAGAGATTACCAAGGAAATTGTAAATATTAACGTATTTATTTGGAGAATAGCAACCATTAAAGGAAACATCACTATCTGTATTTTTAGCATGCCAATTCTGACGTCACCTTGCAACTTTGCCCCTAGCACGCAGTTACCAATTTGCTAGTCTGAGGTTAACAACGCTTCTTGAATCTGATGAAGTGGGAAGTGTCCATGGAAGTTGATGCCAAAATAAGTCGGTTACTCTTCTAAGTGGCACGAGGCTTTCTTTTCTCAATTTTCTTCTGTGAGTTACCTTGAGAACATTTTGTTACATGGCAGCATATCAGCTGAACAAATACGCACAGTTTCATCTTAACCCTGGCCTCCTCGTTGAATGATTGGCAAACCTTCACAAGATCTTAGGTAAGGTGGCCTGTGTAGTCTCTGTCATTCAGGCAGAACCAGAAAAGCCGAGCTTTTGGAATGTAGTTATGTAATGATGGAACACAATTAAAGGTACAAAAATGCTATCTCCAGTCACAGCTTACCTCTGCGTATTTGATTTCTGATAGAGTGAGGTAATAGGGCTGAGGCTTTGGAAACTGTGCACCTGCGTCTTTGGCGAGTGATTAGCATGAACACTAATCATGCTAATTCTCTGAGCAACCTGGGCAGCCACTCCCTTTCTATCATTAGATCTTCCAGAGGGAGATCTAACACTTGTTAAAAACCAATTTAGGTCTGCAGGCTCCAACAGCCTCATGGCAGCTGGACTGGCCCTCTTCGTGGGTGAGCGCTGGGTCATGCAGCCTGCCATAGGTATCCTGGAATACGAGGCACAGGCTTAATTGTAGTTTGCGATGCAGCAAATGCAAGTTTCCCCACATTGCAGCATCTCTGTGCAAGGAAATCTTCATTTTTCAGACCCACCACTGAGGACTTTGTCTTACTCAAGAAAGATCATGATATACAAAGCCTTTCTTGGTGATGGTTTTCAAATGCACGGTTGCTACACAGTTGTAGGATAGCTTTCCACAACCTGTTGCCCTTCAGTAGCGTTCGACTACAACTCCCATTTGCTCCAGCCATGCTAGCACAGAATGCACCTGACATCTTGGGAGGGTGTGAGGTCAGGGAAGACGTATCGGGGATCTAAATGCCTTTCTTCCAGGAAATGCTTGTCATGGGAGAAGTGCATTCTCTGGGCACTCAGTGTGAAGGGATCTGTACACAGGAAATTGATCAGCAAGCTTTAGTGCTGTGTAGAATTTGGTTGCGTAACTGGTGTTGGCACCTGTATTATACCTGATGTCACCTGTGCTGAACAAAACAGCTCTTCCTTCTCCCAGCCCTAAGATTTGTAAACAAAGCATGCACTGCTTTAGAAAGGATGTGTTCTCCACCCATCCTGCGTAAGCGTAAGCGTGTATAGTGTGACTTCAACACACTAGTCCCCATACCCTGCTGAAAGAGGAGCAGAAGGAAGGTCTCCAGATGTATTGGATACCAACCCCCGGAAGCCCTGCCAGCATGGCCATCGGTCAGGAAAGCTGGGGGTTGGCCCAAAAGATCTGGAGGTCTGCTTCCTACCCACCCCTCCTATACCGTATCGGAAACAGCTGCATGTTTCTAGTTTTGGTTGCGTGACTGGTGGTGGCACCTTGAATTCCAAGTCTGCCCATGTCTTCCCCATTCTCCTCTTCCATTGTCTTCCCACTGATGAATTTTAGACCATAAGCCAGCAGGGCTGAGAAAACTACAGAATGGCTGTTCTTTCTAGATGTTCTTGGGAACACTTCCCATCTGCCCCGCCTCATATGGGCAATGAAACTTGTTATTCGGCATCACCAGCAAGTCACAGTTGTCCACTATGGATGCTGATGATTATTATTAATTATATAATAATAATAATAATAATAATAATAATAATACCTTTTGCCTCAAAAATCATACCCCAAAGGTGATTACCATCTGCTGAAAGCTGCTTACCGCACCAACAGCAATGTATTGAAGTCTACAGTTTGCCATCAATTTCACTTCCCCATTTTTGATAGCCCTGGTGAAACTGATGTCAACTGAATCCTTTACAAGACAGTGAGAGGGGCTGGGCAGCCCCACCCCCTGAGATCTGAGCTGCAGTGCTATGAAGGGCTTATGGGAACATTGCTCAGTCTGGGCCAGGAAACAGTGGGGCTGAGCTTTGCAAGATCATGTGACCAGCACCACAGGCCAGTACATGTCAGGGGAACCCTCTCTGCCCACTGATGGAACCGTCAAGATCAGCTGGCCCTCCAAGCATTCTCTGTCCAGACACATTTTCAACCCCCAAAAAAGAGAGGAGAGGAGAGGAGAGGAGAGGAGAGGAAAAAGGTATCACTGGATGTCTGCTGAGAAATTACAAAAGAATGAAAATCCACAGACCAACTCCGTCATCTGATAACATGTGACATTGCATCATATACTATGATGTGATAAACCTTTTATTTTCATCTGTTTCAATTTGGAGGCCACAAATTGAGAAAATGCCAGGCAAAATCTCTTTCTAGGTGGGGCAAAGAATCCATGAAGTATTTCCAGTGGACCTCCAAGTCGTGCTTGTAGGGATTCCCACAAAGAATACTAGCCAAGCGGGGCTTGGTCTGAGCCAGCATGACAAGCTTTTAATTCAGAGTGGGAGCTGAGGATCACTTAACACAACAGGGAGAATATTCCTACAGCCCCAAGGCAGCATCTAATGTGTCATAGCATTCCTCGAATTTCTTCCTTCCTTCGAGCTCCAACCACAGAGCTGGAGCTCTGGACTTGGATTGCCTCCCTGCTTTCTAGCTGCTGCAGAAAGAACTACACCAAGTGGACCTCCAACATTGGAAAACTGACTTTGGAGAAGGGCTTTTAGTGAGCAGGCTCACAAGAAGCACATCTGCACAAAATGTGCATATCCTACTTTATATCTATATATGCAAACTTATATATAACTAGGAGGATTTCACAGCAGGCAAAACCAGCCAGTCAATTTTTCATCCATGGTAAATTTCAGATAAAACCAATCACTCCTACCAAGTGATCAATGAGGTTTTGAGCTTCCCTGCAACTCCCTGTATCCGAAATGTGGTCTCCCGTGTTGTGACTGCAGTGCCGATGGACCTCCCTGGCTGCCCTCAAGGCTGATTTCATTGCCGTATCGACCCACCCATGTGGCAAAGCTGTGTACTCCCCAGCAAAATAGACTCGCCCCTCACTGCCGGCCAGGGCTGCAGCATGCTCACTCAGCTGGTAAGGCCTGAAGAGGGTGAAGGCCCCCATCGCATGAGGGTCCAGATTCCACTTCTTCACCACCCACTGGCTGCAAAGCTGCCTCAGCTCCTCCAGGGGGCGCTGGTGGATGGCCGCTAAATCCCTCAGGACCACCTCGACTGTCCTTTGAGGGCTGAGGGGGGCAAAAAACTCGGAGTCTTCCCCGTAGGTTTGGGAGCCTATGATGACTCCCAGGCCGTTGGAGAAGTTTTGGTTGGAATAGGTGGTGATCCTTGAGGGGAGGTCACTGATGGATGTTCCACCATAGACCTCCTCCCCTTCTTCTTCCCAGAATTTCTTGGTACAGGCCAAGGCTACCTTGGTGGCCCCCGTGGAGTGCAGAGAGCGTAGTGCCTGGGTCTTGGCGGTCGACAGGGCTGGGTGGAACTGAATGAGACGTGTGGCCTCCGCGGTGGAGGTGACAATGACATAGTCCGCCTGGAGGGTGCTTGGTGGGGCCCGGGAGTTGGAAGGGCGGTGAAGTACGGACACCACATCTCTTTCCCTGAGGACCTGCACCACTGTGCTGTTGAGCAGCACCGTAGCAGCGGGGAGGGACTGGTGGAAGGCGCGTGGCAACGTGTCAAAGCCGCCAGCAAGCTCATCGAACCTGGAGAGTAAAGAAAGGAGAGAGGGCTCATTTTGGATGTACCTGCCCAAGAAGTAGCCGGGAACCGAGGGTCCCTTCCTAAAAGGTCCCATCTTCTGCAACCCTAAACCTGAGACAGTGCAGCAAGCGAGGGACCACAGAATAAGAGAACTGAGTGTCCTCTTTCCAGAAGGCAGCCCTTTCTTTTCAGAGCTGTCCTGTGCAATCCTGGTTTAAGCTGCAGAACCGTAAGAAGAGAGAGGAACAAGGCCAGGGGTCCTCAAACTTTTTCAATAGGGGGCCAGTTGAAAGGATGCGGTGACTGCCGCGGGCCAGTGGGGGGGGCCTGGGGGTGTGGGCCGCTGAGGTGCTGTCGGGCGCATGCGAGGCGGCATCAGGCACGCGCGGCGGTGGCTCACTCGCTCAGAGGTCTCCATCTCCAATCAAGCGAGCCACCACCTCCTCCACCCCGAGCACGTACGGGAGGCAAGCGGTGGTGCTGGTGGCTCGCTCAGAGACCGCCTCCAAGTGAACAAGCCTCCGTCTCCCCGCCCGTGCAGCAAGCGCTGGATGGATGGCCATGGTGGGCTGGATCCGTCCCGCGGGCCGTAGTTTGAGACCCATGAACAAGACCCATTAGCAGATCGATTCCGGACAGCCGGCTGAACAGACAGGCTTGTCACCATCTCTCACACTGTGGGAAGGCTACATGTCGATTTGCATCGATATTTCTAAATTTGCATCTCTATATATAAATCAATATGAAAATTAGCATATGTGAGGACATGCCCCTCCCCTCCCCTCCCCTCCCCTCTTTGTATGATTCATATAGATCTGACAGCTAGGATTGTTTCTTACAGGCAAGCCAAAATCTCACAGCTTTCAGCTTGTTAAGTAGAGCACCAGAGACAGTTGGCTTGAAGCGGCCTTCCCCAGTCATCTTGTAGACAAGGGCTGCTTTTGCTGCAACAAGAAAACTGTTTGACTTACTGAAGCGGCTTTGCCCCCATCTCAATCTCTCAGGAAGGAGGGGTTAGTGAACAGGAGGAGAGGGGAACTTCACAAAAGCCCCTTGGCAAAATGCATTCTTGGTCAAGGAAGAGGAAGTGATGTGTCACTCGCTAAGACAACTTGGAGGCCTGCAGTGCATCCTCTGCCCTCTACATGACCACAGAAAGGGGCAGCTAAGTTTTTTGCTTCTTACTTGTTTAATGAAAATCTGCATCCATATTTCACAACTATATGTATTTCATAAACAGGTGGTTGCTTCCAAAGCAACCCTGGGCTTAAAATAGGTGGGAACAGTTGATTTTTTATAAGGTGTTGCAAAGATGCACAGACTTCTATATAAAAAGGACAGGGAGAACTTGAGATTTTAAAAAAATGGAATGTGGGAGAAATGACACTGTGTTCAAGGAAGCTTGTCGGCACAATTCTGCTCTTTTGCCTACAGTTCCTATGCATGCTTGATAGGTTAAAAATTCTCAAATGTTCTAATCAATGGTCAAATGAATGGAGCTTGTTCAATGAAATACTCTTGGTTCAACCCAAGCAACATGAAGTACTTGGAACCATTCAGAGAGACTGGTTTTCCCCCTTGGTTTTCTGCTTCGTTACCTCTTTTCCCGAGTAAACAGAAAAACTTCACGGAGAAACTCAATGAAACTGCAAGAAAACTCTGCACTCAAGTTCATGAGATCTCCAATCATTTGTACTGCTGCACGGCTCAGGTTCCCCTTTTCAATCAGATATTCCTGCGAAGTTAGCAAAGGACATAAAGATATCACGTCATGGCACTCAAAAGAAGAGATTTCATTCTCTTGGAATGTTTGCGTTGCTGAGGTGCTCTAGATTCTTCCTCGAAGCTTGTTTTATCTTGTTTGCATTCTCAAACAGGAGCATCTTTTCTTTCTTTTTAAATCAGAAAAGCCATGCATTCTTCAACTGGGAAAACAGGCATTTTTAGAAAGGACACTTCCACCCACAGGGTAAGGTTTGAAAATGTGAATTTTGTGAAAAGTGTGTATTTGAAGACTTTTTAAATTGCAAAAAATATCTGAGACTTCAGATCCTGCTCACTCTGTATATGGGACATGATCCTCTGAGTTTTGAATGGGAATGAAATTCTATATGCAACTATGTGGAATTGCACTCAGAATTTTCTACTTCTCTAGTGGTTGGAAAGTGGAAGTACTTTTGGTTTTTCCATTGTAGTGGCATTACACAGGTTAAAGCCAAAATGATCATTCATTTAAAATACTGCTGAAGCTTAAACAATGTTTTGCCTCATCTGAAAGGCTGACATACCCACTAAATGTTAAAAGTTTTGCATTAACAGCTTTTAAAAACTACATTCCAAATTTCACTATACACATTTTAATGTGGAGACCCAAAAGCTGAGGTTTGCTTTTGGAAGTTTAAACTTGTACGATCAGTGTCTCAAAAACTGATCTCCTTGGCTATACCCTGGATCCCTTTCCAAACTGGAACGTTGCATTTGGACTAAAATGTAGGCTCCAGGCTTTGACACCTTGGCACATTTTGAGTGTTTAAATTCCAGCTTGAGGCAGAATTCTCCCTGGAAGCAAGAACAGTGAAACAGAACCTGTTGTACTTCATGCACACCATGAGAAGGCAAGACTTACTGGAGAAGACAATCATGCTAGGGAAAGCTGAAGGCAGGAGCAGGAGGGAAAGACCAAAGATGAGATCCATACAGGAACCCACAGCCTTGAGTTTGCAAGAACTGAGCAGGGCTGTGAAGGACAGGACTCTGGAGGGCTTTCGTGCATGGGATCACCATGGGTCAAAGACGACTTGATGGCGCATAAGAACATTTATTTATTTATTAAAACATTTTTATGCCGCCCCATTCGCCGAAGCCTCGGGGCGGCTTACAACATAGATAAAACAAGTTAAAATCCATATAAAATAATCTTAATTAAAACTCACATTATAAAATAAGCTCATTTAAATGTTGAGCTGCATTTTGAAAAGCACTCAAGGGGGCAATGCCTGCATATTTAGAGAGAAAGAAGTGGCATGACTCTCATGATGGCTGGGCATTGTAAGCCTTTTTTTCTGTCACAACATGCCTGGGATCGTGCCCTCCGTTGATTTTTATTTTGGGCATCATATAGACACAACAAGGTTGCCCCCTGGTGGCGGAAAGGCAAGCCTTTATAAAGCTACAAGAACTTGGGCCGTGCATGTGTAAGTAAGAGTGCCGAAAGAGACACGGCAAGACAAAGAACTCCCCGTCGGTCTGCCCACCCTGCCCCATCAGCCCGTGACGTGAGACAGCTGCAGAGGGAAGCAGATCTCAGTGGCGTCACATCGCAAAGCAACACTAGGCAATCCAGTTCATTTGGGCCTGATGGTTTGTCTGCCCACTTCCAGTCTTGTGAATCAGATTTTTCACGGCCTTCCATCTCTGAGACACGCTGTGATTTTAAACAAAAGCAGACAAGGTTTGCAAAAATTAGTCTAGTGTGATTTGGGCACATCTGAAGCCTGTAACAACAATCATACAACAAATTCGTGCAAATCATACTAGAATGCTGTACTTCTCCACTTCTAATTTGCACAGATCTGGGCCTTTCTTTGAGATGGACGTTCGCGAGTGGGTTTGATTCGCACTACAGCGAGTTTGTACCAGTGCAGGGCTGACGAACTGGAATCTGGAGGGCTGAATCTCAGAATCTGATGTCGGAATCTGAGATGCTGCACAGTGGCAGTTCAGTCTCATCCATCATCAGTGGTGGCCCTACCAGGAGGCGGAGGGAGTCAGCAGCCCCAGGTGGAAGATGCCGGGGCTGAGGAACGGTTGCACAGTGCTGCAGCACAGAACGCTCTGTGTGTGATGTGACCTGGCTGGTGCCCCCTAAGCGAGCCTGCTGCCTTCAGGCGGATGGAGGATGCTGTCTGCCACCCCTCCGACACCGGGTAAGGCTCAGTTGCCATTCCAGCTGAGTTCTTTACATGGACCGGGAAGAGATGCTGAATTGTCTTTCACCTCCTGCAGCGAAAGGCCATAAACAGGTTGCTCTCTATCTTCCAGTTATAGTAGTAAAACTGGAAGGGAAACCTTCCGTACCTTCAAAGAAAAGGCATCGTATTTTTCAACCACATGGGTACAATTTGATCTCTCTAAGTCTTCTTCAATCTGGCGGATGCAAGCAAAACAAAGGCAGGTTATTTGCGGAGGATCCTTGTTGCAGCATACTGTGCCCTGTTCTTTCAAGGAACAACCAACCCATCAACCTCCGGTTGTGATAAACAGCAGGCCAAAAACAGGAAGTGGGTGGGGTGAGCAGGGCTGATCCAGCCAGGAAGGGAGGCTAGATCGAGACTTGCTAGATTTGGGGGTGGTGTACAGATCAGGTCCGTGATGCACCTCCACGTAATCATGCACATCTGGAGGCGCAGTGCTGCATATCTGCATCTATTTTGGGTGTGTTCCCCATCTGCACGGCACTGCATGGAGAGAGCTGCATCTTCCATTCATTTTGCAACACAGAAGAGACAGGCATTTTCCTGCATGGTCCCGAGTCATTAATTGTGCACGGCAACCTGATGTGCCTGTCTGTCTCTGGGTGGGATGGGAGCAGGGCCTTTTCCCCATCATGCCTAGCTCACTGTGTCTGCCAACATTTGGAGCAAGAGATATATTTGGGCTCCCTCTTTGTGACCTGGAAGTCACCCCCGCCCCCAGGCACACCATGACTCTTAGCCATGCTGAAAAAATAAACAACCGCAGACCATGTTTACCTGATAGTACTTCAGATTCCTAATCGTAGAATAAAAGCATCGACACAGAAATCCTGTTTGTTTTGTCACTTTTGGGGGGCCTTATAACCACTCATAAATGTGGAAGCTACTTAAAGGATGCTTATGGCCACATGCATGGAAGCAATTGCATGAGCCATTCCCCAGGAAATGAGTACTGCTCAAAACCAGTTTGGCATTTAACCTGGCTTTATTTTAAAGCCAGGGTCACCAGTGCAGCACCCCTGGCCTCCTTCAGTGGTACCTGAGAAAGGACCCCAAATGTGATACCTGCCGGCACTTGAAAAGCATATGGCACAGATTCATATGAAATGCATACAACTGTCTACCGATTATATAAATGCTTCAGTAAAAGTGGACCAAATATCCAGATAAGTTTCCATTTCAATGTGGTGTCCATATGCCTTCCATTCATATATCCAAGGCAGGGAGAGCTGAGGAAGAGAAACTCAGGGAGAATGGAAAGGCATTTGCTTAATGCGGCAAAGACGGCCAAGCGGGCACCAGGCAAGCCTCCTGAGGCAGAGAGTTCCACAGACAGGGTGCTACCACCAAGAAGGCCTCCTCCGAAGATGCCGCACAAGGATACCCGCAGGATGGCCTTCAGGGACTTTCCTGCACAAGCAAGCCAGGATAGTTCTCTGCTAATCCCCTGGCAACTGCGTCCACAAGAGTCACGAGCTCGCAAGCTGACACTCACCGCTCTCAGTGCTTGGTAATAGAGCTCCACAGCAGACTTGCCTCGTTCTGAGGGGTCCACGGGATATCCCAGGATGTCTGGATTTTTCTCCACGTCTTTGACTCGAGCTCGGATGTTGTTCACTAAGTATTGCCATTGCCATTGCCATCTGAATAACGGTGTAATTTCAAGCCAAACTTTTTAACGAATTCCCGGACAATTCTGTATAGCAGGATGGGAATAGTGGACAGATCACAGAGCAGAAGTAAGAAGAGAGACGGCAGCAGAGGCGCTAAAAAGATACAAGACACCATGTTCTCATTTATTATTATGCTCTTTTCTTTTACGTGTTAATTTTCCTGCATAATTTATAGTCTCACAGCAGGGGTGGAAGGTCGCTCAGCAAGGATTTGCTTGCAAACAATGGCAACGACAAAGTCCCTTTTCTGTGCCCTGTGGATACTGCTGCAGTTAAGAAAGTCTGGTGCAACTAGGCAGGGATTTGGGTGTGGAAGGGCTGCGACAGCACTCGGAACAAGCTCCTAGGCCCAACACTCTTTAATCCTACCCGTAAGGCTGTGCTTGGCAGATCTCAGGGTTGTAGCACAAAAACAAAGTTTTGTAGTACCTTCTACTTTATTGCCAAGGTTGCCAGAGTGCAGCCCAAAGATACTCCCTTTCATGTAACTGCAGAATGAGGAGCCGAAGCAGGTGGGGCTCTTCCCACCCATTTTGGCACAGTTCCTTCTTCCCCCAGCCTGCTGTAATGAACTGGGGAAAGGGTGTGACTGACAAGGCTGGGGAAACCACTGCTGCCTTCCCCTCCGTTTAGAATGGTTCAAAGGCGTAAGGGGGATCTCTGGGTTGTAACCTGGCAGCCCCCCAGCCTGTGCTGGGATCATTCTCCAGTTCTAAGCATTCCACCCACTCGCTGGACATTCTGTCAAACTCGAACCCTGGACCTTGAACTTCTTTCAGCCTGAGGACTGAACTCCATTTCACCATAGTTCTCGGGGGTCTTATTCCGGTGATGATGAAGCAAAAGTGGCAGGGCCAAAACCGCTGACATATTTTAGCTTAAAGCTGTTGCTTTCAGTAACTGAGCAATCCAACTGTTTGGAGTGGGGGGACACAGCAACTAAGTTCATTAAGCACATTCCCACGGGGTGACACTAATCAGTTCTTACCGGTGACTGTAGGGCAAGCGCCTCGGCCCCAAATCCACATACCAGTTCCCTGCAGGATCCCGATATGTCTCCATTCGGCCTCCCACATGACTGCGGGCCTCCAGGATTGTCACCTGGGAGCACAAAGGATCAGAAGAGTTGCTGTGAGATTTAAGGATAATCACAAAATGTCTCCTCTATACAAGTTAAGGACTCAGATGTTCAGGACTCAGGAACTGTGAGGCGCTTCCTTCTCTCTCTCTCAAACCTTCTCTCTCACTCAGCTTCATGGGATGACCCGGGGTTTAAGTATCATGGAAGAGGGAGAAAAATGCCTCCCTCTCCACTTTCTCCACACCATGCATTATTTTAAGCACCTCTACCAGGTCTGCCCTTACTCGGCTTTTTTCTAACCTGAACAGTCCCAGTTTTTGTAGCTGCTCCTCTTCGGGGTGCTCTCCCAGTCCCCTGCCCTTTTTGCTGCCCTTCTGGGTACCTTTTCCAACTGAATAATGTCCTTTTTCAGGGAAGGTGACCAGAACGGAACACAACATTCCAAGTGTAGTTGCACCAAAGATCTGGATCAGGGAAGCCAGATCTTGGCAGTTCTATTTCCTATTCCATTCCTAATTATGCCTAGCATGGACTTTGTCCAGGTGAGTCTCGCAGACGGGGTTCAGACAACACAACCATCCGTCATGCACCCAACAACCCCAGCGACAAGGCGTGGGTTGTCAGGGTGGCTTACAAGCCAAAATTAAGCCGTCCTGACAATCCTGTTCCAGTTGCACACGCCATGGGTGCCCGGCGGCTTATAAGCCCTGGTCCATCGTCCTGCAGCACAGGACCAGTTAAGGTCTGTTCTTCATGTGAGCGACTGTTCGCTCATTTCAGAGCTGCTGACGTTTATTATCCTGTCCAAAAGAGAAAGGAGAAGAAAGCTGCTGCCCTCAAACTGTTTCAGAATTCAACTTCTCAGTGGCTATGCTGGTTGGGGTTTATGGGAACTGTAGTCCAAACCACCTAGAGGACATCAGGTTGACATCCAGCAGTGCTTCTCACATGGGGGGCGGGGGGCAAAATTCCCTTGAGGAGCACAATAGACTTGGAGGGCACATGCCCAAATGTTGAGGGGAGGACGGGACTTTGGGATAGGGGGACTGGCCAGCTGTATAGGGTAGGCAGAGCAGCTCGAGCTCAACTTGGCCACCCAGTCACGAAGCTCTCTCAGAGGTTTTGAGCCCAAAATGGAGAGGTGGAGGGTTATGTCAACTACCCTGGTTACCTTGGAAGAGGATTCGAGGTGGAAGACCAGTGCAACATGTGCAGAACAAGCCCATAATCCCCCTTGCCTAGCCAGCCAGGGATGAGTGCACTGAACATCCTCTCAAGAACCATTTGGACCTTTTCACACTGGACCTGGGGAATTTCTCCCAAACTGGCTTTATCCCTGCATATTGATTTGGGAACGATCCCTGCTCTGTGGGTAATGGCTTTTCTTTAGCTTCCCTACGTCTGAGTGATATGGGGTCTGTGATATCGCCTTTCCCTTCCCAATATTCCCCTCGGCATCAGTGTTATGCCAGTGCCCTGCTCCACAGGTCTTGGGACGTGCACGCACACATGCAGCCTGCAGGGATCCTTCCATTCCCTGCTGTGGGACAAACAACCTGGCAGGCACTGGGCTGGGAGGGCCAAAAAGACAAATCGGTCCCCACCATCCCAGGGCCGTCTTAACAGCATTAAAGCAGTGTCCTGGGGCCCCTACGACAACTACAACGACTGTTAATTTTGGAAGTTTTCCAATTTCCCAAGGGTTAACAGACACAGATTAGTATGGGGCCCAGGGGCAAGTGCCCATCAGGCCCCTGCGTTAGGACGCCCCCCTCCCCCACAAGCTCAGAAAGAAAAAGGAGAAGAGAAGCGCCAGCCAAGAGACAGGTGGGAGAATTTGGTTCATTCTACAGCTTGACTCGTAATTGACACACATGTCAGCAGCTGTTTGGAGCAATTACCCAAGAGCCCCTGAGGGGAAGGACAGCCTTGCCTGTTGATTAGGAGCCTCAGAGGTACTGATGCACCTGCAAATAAAGCTGCCTGATCTCATGAGCAATTGCTCTGATGGGAAACTACGCAGTTTGATGCCAATGAGTCACTGCAAGGAGCAACCGTTTGGGGTGAGAAGCTGCACAGCACAGGCCCCCAGCTCTGTGTGTATCAGAAACACAACTGGGCAGACTTCAGGCTTGTCAGATCCACTTTCTTTCTTGCTGGAAACCCAAGATGCCCCAATTAGAGCCAGGCACAAACAGAAATGCACCGAGGATGAAAGGACAGGTCTCCAGGAATGTGTCTTCAGGACAGAGCAAAACTGAGCTTACAGAAAAGTCCATTCTGGCTTAGTCCAAGCATTCTTCCTTTCAGCAGCCTGACTGAGTGATGCAAAGTCACATGGTTACCAAGCATGGTTTACTGGGGCATGCTGGGACTTGTAGGAATGTTTTTCTGCCTAAACGTGCATAGGATTTAACCTTTTGAGTCAGGACCCTTGCCTGACCTACTGCAAATCACCCACAACTCTACTGATAGGCCAATCAAGACTCTGATCTAGATTACAGTCCACACAGAGGAAAGCATATTCAACCATCTGCCAGCATGGCTGCTTCTGTGGGAACACTGGACTATGACATTGGCTATCAGAAATCTAAAGAGTCATAAAATCCTGCACATACTCCTAAATATAGTGCAATAAATCCCTAATATGATGTCACTCTTTGAGAATTTTCTTTGATTTGGGGGGATTATTATTATTAAATTTATATACCACATTGTTTTCCTCCAATAAGCCTACAGTGGCTCACATGATCTTCTTCCTCATCTTCATTTTATCTTCACAACAACCCTGTGAGGTAGGCTGGGCGAAGAGTCTGTGGCTGGCCCAAAGTCACCCTGCGAGCTCCATGGCTGAAGGGGAACTAGAACCCAGAGCTCCAGACAACCGATCCAAGTTCTAATCACGGCACTGGCTGAAAGGATGGCTGTGGTACAAGTTACCCATGTGACCCAGAGGCTGCAGGCCAAATCCATTCTGTCCTTCCTCCAAATTCTCCTGCCGTACAGATAATTCTGACCTCTTGATAAAACGTAAGCATCAAGCCAGGAATATTATTGGATGCAACTCCCATCAGCTCTCTCCAATGGCAAGGAGTGCTGGCAGAGGTACCCCAAAAGCTTCCCCTATCTGCCTTGAGGATTGTGGGTGCCCTTCTTACCATGAAGCACCCATTTCCACGCACACGCCAACACCATGCCAGTCCTCATGAACCCTAACACATTTAGCAGCCTAGCAAGTGTTGCAAGTTTGGTTGCGCCACGTATTTTTAGAAAGTCAACGGATACTGGCATTTTTAAAGGAAACTTCCTTTTGTAACGATCCCCAAACACAGAAAGTGCTTATTCACAGCAGGCAAACACTGGGTCAATTTTTTCATTGAGCTGTTCAGCACAACCCCAGAATCTTTTGTGATGGGTGACTCCTTCAACATAGAGATGAAGTTGGGATTTTTCCCACCCCAACATATATCACTTTACAGTTGCTTAAAGAGAGTCACATTGGCCATTTAGTGCTCATTCCCAAGTTTGGAAAGATCCTTTTGAAGTTGCTTTTTGCTTTGACCTCCCTAAATATGTTTCTCTCTCTGCCGTTCCCAAAGTCAGGACTAGAATGGCTAGGCAGAAATTGCAGGACAGCTGCTTTCAGCGAAATAGGAGGTGATTCTGCCTCATGGACTGAGTTGCTTCATAAATAGCCTCCTTTTCCATGGAGGCATTTAAGCAGGTGCAGGACAGGATCCTTCCCTTCCTCATTACATTCCAGATCCCACTTTCAGCCAAGAGTTGGACTAGATGCCCTCTTAAGTCCCCTCCAACTATTTTCCAGACTCTGTGTCCTCTTCTGCACCATGGCCTCCAGGTCACAAATAATTCAAGGCTCACCAACATTTGCAAAACCTGAAAGGGAACATGTGAGCAATTCACATATTTCACTGCCTGTCAGTGTGTACGACTCCACACTGTATGGCTTGCCCAACTTTCTACGTCGTTTACAGGGGCTTGCCTGGCTGTAGGAAGCACCCATTTAAGTCATGCCGATTGGTTCAGCTGACAAGAGACAGAAATACAGCAAACACGCTGGTCCAAGACAGGCCTGCAGGGGGAAGGGGACGGGGAACGGGGCCTTTGCTGAGCGGCTCCTTTCTATCCGCACCTGGCTGTAAACGGGAGCCAGCATGCCCAAGAAGAGAAGGGCCCCACCTCCTGCTATGTAACCCACCCAACCCCACCTGCCCATCTGTGCTGCACAAGGTGACGTCGTCAACAGCTGGCTGCCTCCGCAGCGCTGCATCTGCTGTGCCCACATGCGACCCCCCAACCAGGGAGGGCTAGTTTCCGGAGCCTCCAGCTTCCACCACCTAGGTGGCGCCATCCCCACATCAGAGCACCCCCTGGTGGCTTCACCTGGGGTGGCAGTGATAGCAACAGGAGCCGTGTTCGTGGAACTGGCATCTGGGGCAGCTGTTCATAGTTCCCACGAGGCCCTGGAGTGATGTGAGGTCAGAGGCAGGGTGGGAAGTGACCTTGGTGACTCTCAGGCTCAGCCACCTGGAACAAGCATTTCTTTAAATGGGGCCCAGGGCTGGCATAAGTGATAGTCCTGCCACAGGGGCGTGGATGCTGGGCTTGGCTACTTGAAATGCAAAGGGGCTTCTTTCAAATTAGGGTTGTACATCAGAAGTCAACCTCTTCTCTCTTTGTCTCTAGCAGGAATCCTGCTTTTGGCCCTAACCACGGGTTAGCACGGTACAGACACTGCATAAGCTCTTGGGATAACCCAATACATTCCCAAGATTGCAAGCTGTGGTTTGCAGAGAGCAAGACTGACACCTGCTTTGCCAGCCTTTGGCTTTCCCAAATGTGCAAGGATCTGGCAGGAAACAGGAGTGCAGAGCTCTTCCAGCACGAGGGCGACCCTCCTTCCCAAAGGCGCTCATGGCAGCGGAAAGCTCCTACTGCCATAGGAGCCAGTAAGGGCCACAGGAGAGGGATTTCAACCATTTAGAATGGGGCGGGAGGGCCTGTACATTTTTTTGTACAACCACCAAACAATTCATAGCTGGAGAAAGGGGACGAAGCCACCAGGAGACTGCAGGAAGGTTGGATTTGGGCCCCAGACCAAAGGTCTGGAGTCCCTGCTACACAGCAAGGCAGCCTTCCTCCACTCGCAGCAACTTCCAGCCAGCCCTGCCAATGCGCCCTCTCCTCTCCTCTCCTCTCCTCTCCTCACCTGGTGTCCAGCATCCAGCAGCACTTTCCCAGCTGTAAGACCAGCAATCCCGGCTCCTACGATCACAATCCGTTTCGGCTTTTCAGCCTTCCCAAGCCCATCCTTAGCGATCTCCAGCAGCTGGCCGTACTCCGGGTCTTCGAAGCAGCTCTCCAAGGGGCGAGGACTGCTCTGCATGACAAGCAGGGCAGCAAGGCCCAGAAGCACTGGAAAGACACAGCCGTACAGGGAAGACAAGCAACTTGGATCTTCCACGTCCCCATTCGGCACTTTTAACCACTATAGCACACCAGTCCTAGAGAGACCCCGAGAAGCAGATCAGTCCCATATACTTCTTTTGCTATATCTCTTTTGTGTTTGACCATCCAGACAGATTTTTAAGATGGGGACAGACTGGCCTCTTTGGGAGCCTTCAGCTCATGACACCTTTGAAGATCTTTCTAGAACCACCAGCCAGGATCCAAGAGAGTAAGAACACCTGCATGTGTGCGCACTGAAAACTGCACTCTTTGCTGCCCTCTGGTGGGCTTTTTCAGCAGTGAAAGATGGTGGCATAATTGCTCAGAGGTATCTAGTTCACCTTTCTCTTCTCCCACACTATGAACTGAGCAAGGTTAGTTACTGGGAGTTCTGTCAGTCTTGAAATAGCCAAAGATTTATCTGCAACACAGCAGCTGGATTATGATGATGAAGATGAGAGGGATTCTTAAATAAATCAATGTACAAAGGTGCTTTAAAAAATGGAATGTGGACTACCCAGATAAAATGGAGACACAAGATCTGTCCTTCCTATTACAGAGATGCAAAGAACCCTCAGGCTTATCTGATGAAAAATACACAGTAATGCCCCAAATGGAAGTTTTTACATGGCACCTGCAACTCCCTGTCAGCGGCTGCTATGAAGGTGATAGCTTTAGTGTCAAGATGCGTTCAGTGAGGTGACCGGCATATCTTTTGGCACTTCTGTGGACAGCTAGCCCAAGGGATACTGCTTACCCAGAGACGGATACAGGCAGCTGACATTCCTAGAGCTAGGAATGCAGCTGACAACTCACCAGCAGGGTCACAGCTGCAAAGACAGGTCTGCCATTTGGAAAAGGGACCACTGGTGGCAAGACATTGGTGGCTTTCTTGCAGCTGGCTGAGAGGAAGTGATCCTGCCAGCTTTGGGGGATCTGCTGGTGCTTTAAAGTTTAATATCGTCTGCTTGGATGCTTACCTGCTCAACAGGTATATTTCTAAATCTTATATATCAGCTTTCCCTATCCTAGTACCCTTCATTCCCCATTTGCAGAAGCCTTGTAGATGTTCACAGGGCAAGAACTACCGTGCAGGATGCCGGTTACGTTCCCCCAAGGAGCATTTTGTCTTTGAGGAGTTGACATTTTCCATGCACTCCACTAGTCGGACGTGGGGGTCGAGGAAGTGCTTTCTCCCACCCGGCAGGAGCCCGTGGCTCTTGCAAGGGATGCTGGCAAAGTGACCAATGGACACAGTGCTTCCCCCTTGCATTGCCACGCCGGCAGTCAGTCCAGAAACAGGCAACAGAAAGAGGATGAAACTCAGCAGCCTCAAGACCAAGTACGGAAAGCATACCTGGCTGAAAAAATGACCTGAGAAATTTCGTCAGGTTTTTGGAAACTTCACCATGACTCATCAGGTTTCTCCATATGCTTTACAGTAACAAGAGAAACCACAATTTGTGGCTTGTAGGGAAACCTGGACCATTTTTCTCAAGCAAAACATCTGTCCTTCGAGCCGGAATCGAACCAGCGACCTAAGGATGACTTGGCAGCACTCTACAGTCCTCCGCTCTACCAGCTGAGCTATCGAAGGGACACATCCAAATCTTTGTCCTGTTTTTTTACATGTTGGATCTGGAGTCCCTTTAAAGTAAGGTAAGCATTTGCCTCCAGGATGCAGGACTGGAATTTCAGTTTGAGTTTCCACGTCTTTATTCAGAAGTCTTGCATCACGTTCTAGACATTGCCATTATCGTACCTTTGCCAGAATACTTTCCTTCACAAGACATGGGTTGTGCGTTTGTGATCTCTCACACATGGCAGTTGGCAGGTGTGTGGCATGAGGTCATTCTTCCCCAGGCCTCGCCTGTGCTTTGCAGCCATTTCCGTGGCTTTTTAAAAATAGCAAAGTACACTATTAATTGGAAACCATGCTATGGGAAACTCACAGATTTCTGTAGTTGTGCTATACCACAGTGCTGTCTTATGGTTGTGTAACGGAACATATAGAAAGGCAGAGATGGGAAAACCCCAGGAGAAAACCACATATAAAGAGCTGATCTTAATTCGGGAAAGAATCCTGAAGAAGATTCCTGGGAAAATGGCACATTAAAAGCCTCGTGTAGAGGAGCTGACGCTCCCATTCAGCTTGGGCGCTTGCTTTGAGTTCCATCCTGCCCTTTTCTTTTCAGAGCACATCATTCTCCTCCTCCCGCTCTCAGTCCTACCCCTGCAACAACAAGCCTGTGAGGTAGGCTAGGCTGAGAGTCTGTGGCTGGCCCAAAGAGCAGGGACTAAAACCCAAGATCACCCGCGTCCCAGTCCGCAGTCTTAACCACTAGGCCACACTGGCTCTCAGATGCTTTCAGCTGCAGCCAGGGCAGAGCTGGCAACCTTAGCATACAAATTGCGCCCCTCGTTCTCAAAAGGAAAGTGCATGCATTGAAGCTGCACCTGTTTCAAAAGCGGACACAAGCTTTTCATAAGGTAACAATTTCACAATCAAAAACCGACAAACAGAAGCAACACATCTGCAGGGGGCTTGTGCATTCTCATTCTGTAAAATCTGCCTTGTGGCACTTTGCTGCTCAAGCCAGACCAACAATCCTCTCCCAGCCCCACGGCCAGGCAGACAAGCACCAAAACAACCCCACCCCAACACTTTTCCCATCCCAGGCAGTAAATTTACAGCAAACGGAGAAGAATCTGCTGTTCTTTCACAATCTCCAAAATCTGCAGCCTGAAGCCACTGCCTCCGTCTGCTGGAGTTGCAGGATTGGTTATATCTGACTACAGTAAGCAAATGAATGTCTAGGATTTCAGTAGAAAATGGGACACAGGAAACTACCACACACTGATCCAAACCACAGGTCCGTCCACGTCAGGATCCTTGAACCTGACTTGCAGCGGGTCCCCAGCTAAGAGTTCTGCTAGCCCTCCCAGGAAACACCAGGGACTGAACTTAGAACCTTCTGCATGCAAGGCAGAAGTGCTTCCACGGAGCTACGGACCACCGTCAGATGATGCATTTGTCAGACCTTAATGTAATATCCTGCACTGAAACGGGAGAAACATACAGCCAAGGGACCATGAGACGATAAAGGAAATCATTAATTTGTATTAATCAAATTCAAATCATGTTAAAAGAAAAGCAAATGGATAAAAATGTCAATTACAAGCAATACAATACCATACAATCTAGGAAAGGGACTCCAGCGAGCAGCCGACAGGCACGGGGATGGCGCCTGCAGAGCTCTTCACTCCTTGCTCTGTTAAAAAGCTGTTTATTGAACATACTGGGAAATGTTGGGGAGCCCATGTCCCTTTTCTGTTCCTGAATCTGCCACTGATAAACTGTTCAGTCAGAAGGAAGCAAAATCAAAGGAAAAGATGGTGGATAAGAAGAGGAAGGCAATAAGGGAAAGGAGAGGAAAAACAAAGCCAGGGGCTGGGAAGGGAGAGAAATAGTGAGGAAATGGGTTGAGGAAAGGACATAATGAGGCTCCAGGCTGGAATGGGGAGTGGGGACTGAGAGAGAGCGCAACGGGGAGAGGCCAATTTGTGGTGGTTTCTCGAATACCAGATACACCCAGCATGTAAGTTGACCCTTGGAACTGAGAGCAAGGAAGCAAAAATTGCGGGGAGGGGAGGTCGTCTTATATGCCAGATGAACAATTGTCATCATTTTATATCCATCATTTAAAAAGATCAGATAGATAATAAGACAAACTTGTTTTATTAATACTCATAAAAAAACTTCTTACTGGTATAGACTAGCACCAAAGTGACCAACCATGCGGGATAATTTGCTTAGTCTTCTAAACTGAGGTGCTCTTTGATTACATCGTGAGACCCTAGAAGCTTCTGGCTGACATATATCCCGGTGTATAAGATGACCCTTGAAACCAAAAATAGCAACACAAAAATTGGGTGTCATCTTACACGCTCAACATAGGAGAAACACCAGAAAAACAGTCCAAAATGTTGACTTTATCTTATATGCAAGTTGCCTTCTATGTCGGTATACATGGTCCCTAAATGTGTCCACAGGTCCAAAAAGGTTGGGGACCATTTGACCAGGACTTTGTAAAAGCAAAACACCCAAAGGATGCTGAAAAGCAAATGCAGCCTTATACAACCCATCACATTTTTTAAAGGCACCATGCTGTATTTCTCTCCATGGGGGAAGAGCAACACCACCCAGTTCATATCCATGCATGGGGTTTTGTTGGAAAAAAAGCTAGTGGCTAATTCATACATGCGCCAGTGTCCCTTTCCATAGCTGCTGAGCTTTGCCCGAGGAACATTTCAAAAGCCACGGCACCTAATGGGCTGGATTCAGATTCTCGAGAAGACCCGTCACCCATCCAGTGCTTTTAATGGGCCAACTTGAAATATCATGACGTTTGAATCCAGCCCAACATCTACCAGATCTCTCTTACCCACATGCTTGGAAATGAGGTGCTCCGATACCCTACCCTGCCCCACCCCATTTAGCTTTTAGATTTGCTGGCCAGCAAAACTGCCAACTGAAAATCCAGTTCAACACCTAAAGGTGCCACACCCAAAGTTAGAAGGAGCAACCCAGCAGCTCAGACATGTCCCTTCGATAGCTCAGCTGGTAGAGCGGAGGACTGTAGAGCACTACCAAAGTCATCCTTAGGTCGCTGGTTCGATTCCGGCTCGAAGGACAGATTTTTTTTTTGCCAGAACATTTGAACAAATTGCTCAGTGGAGGCATTTTCACGTGCGATGCTCTGGAATGAGTCTGCAATTAAACTGACCTATCACATGAACATCTAATGAGAATGTAAGCTCCATTCTAACCTAATTAACCTCTGTAAATATTACCCAGTACTCTTCGGCCTCAGCATATTTGGGGTCACAGAAATCAATGGAGCTCAAACACACTCGGCATTTTGCTGGACTATACTCAAAGGTCATTATTTTCTCATCTATGCCTCTCCCCTTCCAAAAGCTGCCAAAAGGATTTTGTTCTTTAATTAAGGCTCAGCCCCTGTTGATGAAAATAAATATTTCATAGTGCAGTCCCAATCCTGTTGGACAGTCCATGGATCAAATGCCCCTCCGTTCCACCAAAACGCCCCCAGAATGGATCCTCCAAGCCAGCACGGAACTAGTTTAATTACTTGCGATGACAGGGCAGGCTAGAGTTCCAAAAATTAAGATCTGCCAAGCCACCTCCACCTTCACTTGTGCAAGCTGGCCAGACACCAAAAGTGGCAAGTGGTCTCCAAAGAGCGTAAGAAAAACCACACTGGATCAGATCAATGGTCCATCCGATCCGGCGCTTCATTCACGTGTCGGCAAAGCGGCTATCCGTGGGATCCCTCAGGCAGGAGAGCCGTGAAACCTCCCCCTGCCCAAGCTCCCCAGAAACTGGTGCAGAAGGACTGCTGCCTCTGGAAACGAGGGTAGGATGCAGCCAGCAAAGCGAGTTGCCATGGAGAGCCTCCTCCTCCATGAATTCATCCAGTCCCCTTTCAAGCCATCCAAATGGGTGGCCACCACTACTTCTTATGGCAGTGAATTCCATGGTGTAACTATGCTATATGTTTTATCTATCCTAAACCTCCTACCAGTCAGCCTCATGGGAAGACCATGGATTTGAGTGTTTGGGGGAAAATGTCTCCCTCTCCACTTTCTCCACACTGTGCATGATTTCGAACACCTCTATTGTGTCTCTCCTTACTTGCTTTTTTCTTATAAACTACACAAAATCAGTTGTTGAGGCTTTACCACTGTGCACACTTACTGGGCTTGGCCATGGTCCCACGGCTGGAGCCCTGCTAGATGCAAGAGGTGTGGCGGAGACTCACAACACCCTCGCTTTCATTGGCAGGTGCCAAAAGGTTCGCTTGTTTTCACTGCTGTTGCCTTTTGGCCTATGGAAAACATCACATGGCCCTGCGCATCTGGACTCTGCGGACAAACAAAAAGCATAAGATCAGGAAAAAGGGGGGATAAAGATCAATAAGTCCTGGGAAGAGAGCAGGTGAATTACTGAGGTTTATCCTCATTATTCCAACGCTGGGAAAAAAGCTGTGTACTTATGTAAGACAGCAGCCGCGGAGGCAGGGAGAAGACGCTAGTGAACATTTGCTCTAGCAGGGCTCTTAAGCGCTTACGGTCCTCAGGAGTCAGTCACAAAATCACTGTTTAAAAAAAAGTTATTAATTGATTCAAGTTACAAAGACAAGGCCACTGTGGGCCTAATCCTACGCATGTTGAAATAGGAGAAAGGTCAGACAGAAAAATGCTTGCTGCAAATTGCATGGCCTTTTCTGTGTGGAAGTGCAGAGGACTGAATTTTACCTAGTTCATCGCAGAGACAGTCTGAACCAAGCAAGCCCTTCTGGATCCATGGCTCAGTTTTTTATCCTACCCTACATCAGCTCTCACTATAATAATTTTAATAATGATGTAATATTAATATAGAAAAGAACTGCTTATATCACTTAAATGTGGTCGTATAGGACATACTGAATCAGTGGTTAGTTGATTATGACAATAGCTAACATAGGTACATGCAAATGAATTATAAATAACAGTACACATTTGTAAAGCTGCCAGGTTCAGACCCAAATAGGACTTCTGTATCAAAAAGGGATAATTTGGCTGGATGACACTTATCTTGCCACTATAGCATTGTAATATGAGAAACAGCAGCTTGTAAGTTATCCCCCTCCCCCACCCAATCTCAAAAGAAGGCGACTCATTGGATCAGCAGTCCTAAACTTTATGGGTCTGTTCTGATCAATGCAGGGATGGGCAACCTGTGGCCCTCCATGTTTTGGTCTACAAATCCCATCTGCCCTAGTTAGCATAGCCAGTGCTAATGGATGGTGGGAGTTGTGGGCTGAAACATCTGGTGGTCCAGCGAGTTGCCCACCCCTGTTTTAATGGATAAGAGCCAGCTTGCCGTAGACCAGGGGTCGGCAACCCGCGGCTCCGGAGCCGCACGTGGCTCTTGAATACCTCTGCTGCGGCTCCGTCACTCGCGTCACAGCCGCCGCCGATCCACAGCCCGTGCCGGCACAGCGCTTGGATAAATTGAAGAAAAGTTTCTGAAGAAAATCAAACGTTTAATGATACTTGGGTAGATTCATTTGCTTTTACTGCTGACGAACTTATGGGGTTTGCTGTTTAATGCATGCAGCCCTTTAGCACTGACTTTGACTCTTCAGGGAGCTGTTCTCCTATTCAAAACACAGGAAAGGAGTCCTACTAGTTTATAATGTAAGATTAAAAATAACAGTTTTTAGTGACTGAACAAGAGCTGCAGCTAAATCATAATGAAGCTATACATAGCATTAAGGTTAAAACGATATATGCAGTGTTATCTTCATTTTAGATGTCAAAAGGGTTTTGTGGATCCCGGTGTTTTCTTTTGTGTGGGAAACAGGTCCAAAAGGCTCTTTGAGTGTTAAAGGTTGCCGACCCCTGCCACAGATGTTTGGGAAAGCAGGTTTCGTACTTGGCACATTGGAGATGCAAACCAACACCTAAGACATCTCTTGAAGTGGATCACTTGCCCTTTAACAAATGTTTCCACTGCTGTATAAGCACAGGCAAGCAGCAGGCAGAAATTTGCAAGGATTTTCCCCAACCTGGTGCCCCCCTCCCAGGTGCCGGACTAGTTTTTTGGGGATGATCAGAACCACATTCTCCGGGGCACCAGACTGGGGAAGGCAGGTGCTTGCAAGCTAGGAAACCAATTGGCTACGATAGTTGGACCCAATGGAAGGAGATGCCCAGCCTTATTTATGTTATCACCACCATGAGACACTGTAAAGGCTGAGATATAAAAACTTTAAATAGACAGACAGACAGACAGACTATCATTATGTTAGGGGCAAACAGCCAGGGAAGCCGCTCTGCCTCATGCCCTTCTTTTATGCCTTATTCACTGCTTGGAAGTGGCCAGAGGCAGACTTCTAGGGCTAAGCTGGGTTGAGACAGGCCTCAGCAAGTTCTATTTACCAAGTTATTATGATGTTAATTCCTTCAGCAACAATACCAATGCATACTTCCCTGGGCTGGCAGTAAATTCTGTTCATTATAACTATGTAAACATGGAATTCCACTTTTAGATTATGAGCTAACAGACAGAGAAGAGACTTTTGAAAACTCTAATATATATGCCTACTAGCCAGTATTACATTTCAGTCACAAATGCAATCCCCGCCCCCCAAAAAGCAAAGCAAGACAGTGTGCGTGTGTGTGTGGGGGGGGGTTACTTTCAACTCAATGCTTCCTGTGCATAATTGCTTAGAAGGGAACGCTATTGTAGTCAATGAAGCTTACTCACAAGTAGACGCTTTGCAGCCTAACAGTTTACTCAGAAGTCCCATGTAGTTCAAGACAACTTGCTCCCCAGGTAAATGCCCTATGCGCAATTTCCTGAGAGTACTGTCCCATTTGAACTCAGTGGGGCTTTCTTTTGCATAGGCATACCCAAGACCGTGAGGGCAAAAGATGAAGGGGACGGCAGAGGATGAGGTGGCTGGATGGAGTCACTGAAGCAGTCAGTGTGAGCTTAAGTGGACTCCAGGGGATGGTGGAGGACAGGAAGGCCTGGAGGAGTGTTGTCCATGGGGTTGCGATGGGTCGGACGCGACTTCGCAACTAAACAACAACAGCGACCCCAGACTGAGGAGTTGGTGACATGACATCTCCTGAGTCCTTGCCCTTATTAAAATGCTCAGGAATCTTTCATTTCCTCCTCATGCACCTGCTGGGAAAGAGAATCTGCTACCCTTTTGCTCTTCTTCATGCAACCTCAGTCCGAGTTGCATACTCCACTCCTAAGAGCCTAAAGGCGCATCCTATGCACGTTTAAACTGGGAGCTGTAGGGGTTTTCCCCTGTCTGAACACGCAAACGACAGCAGCCCGAAGTGCTGTCCTCGCGGTTCAAGGGTCTTTCGTCTACCTCTTAAAAAAGAAGCTAATCATGAAGGCGTGCCTGCAACCTCTTTTGCCAACAGAACTGAAACCTCAGCCCTTTTTAGGGTTCTAGGCATGGAAGCTGCGTAAGCGCCCTGCCACGTATTTTGCGCGCCCGTCCAAAATTAGCATGCGCAGAAACTCTACCTGTGACTTACTCCCAACATTTACTCCTCCAAGCGCTCACCTTAAGATTAAGGACCAGGGAGCTGGAGAAGAGAGAATCTTCCGCTTCCTAAGAAACCAAGGACTACAATTCCCAGCAAGCGAAAGCGCCACTAAGCTAAAGAACTAACTTCAGCACGGCATATTTTCGACGTATTTTTCTTAGGACTACAAGCCCCAGTATGCAATGCTTCCTTTCTTTTTAAACTTGGCGGAAAAGCGCTCTCCCCTCCCTCGTCTGACTTCCCAAATTAGGGGATGCCGCGGCTCTGTGTTTTTAGGTACTGTCACCTTTGGCGTCTATTATTGATAAAGTGCCAGACACGTAGACACGTGGTAGAGTAACGTCAGGAAGCGAGGTGTCTGACTCGGGGGCTTACAATCAGGCGAGACAGCGAGGAAGGCAATAACTCAGAGGGGCACGACAAGGGTATTAGTCGTAGAATTAGGGTGGCCACTTAGGTAATATAAGAGGATTAAAGCGGATATCAGTTTGCGTAATATCTGCACCTGCTAATTTATGCGTATAGGTGAGCATTTAGAAATAATTAAGATTTCAACAGGTGACTGACAGTTTTGCTTTGCACGGCCCATTGTCTGAGAGCTCTTGAGGGGCAACTTGAAGGCCCTCACAGGACTTGTCTTTAAACTAGACTGCCCTTTAAATAGGGGCGCATTCGACGAAGAGGACAGTTCTCTGGAGGCCCTTCCAAAGAGGACCGCCCTCTATAAAAGGCAAGGCAGGCAACCACAATTGCAATCCTATCGATGTATATTCAGAATCGATTTCCACTGGGTCTAATGGATAAGTGAATACAGGAAGTGTGAGCAAAATGTGAGCAAAGAAGTCACGTGGTGTTGCGAAGGGCTTTTGTAACTCTTAATGGCATACAGTAAAAAAAAGTTGGCTACTGAAGTTCTCCACTGACTGTTTGCATGTAGTGGTGCAAAGGCTAATTAACATGATTTTCCACTGCTCTGTGCAAACTGCATGATGCTGATTCTTATTTCGACCAATGTTTATTACATTATTAGGATTTATGATCTCTTAGAGGTCCCTTGGGCTGATGCAGCATAATGTAAGTTTAAAAATGCATGTTATCCCACCCTTCACAATATCTGAGTACTGAAATTATTGCTTCTCTATTATGTGCATTTACTTTCCAATTATTTGTTGGGTTTGTTTGGTAAATTAATAGGTATACAAGCTTTAGGCTCCCAAATTGATGTAACAGGGATGAGCAAAGGATAGTTTTTATCTATGAGTGAGATCTTGCTCTAGCGTTCCAACAGGCAGGCAATGATTTTAGACTCCCAAACAAAAGAAGCAATGGAAGTATTTCTTCACACCCCTTTGCTTCTGCTGCTGAAATACAGAAGACTCAGGATAAGATTTTGGGGTGGAAGAATTGTGAGCTCTTTCTAAGGGTCTGTCTTTCATGAAATTGGGTTTCTAGTAAAAACAAACCCAGAGTAAATCTCACAGGATTGAATTCTACCTCTCTGAGATATACATAATATTTTTTAAAAGCTATAAAACTAGAGTATTAAAGCAGAATAATAAGAAAGCATGGCAGAATAATAAGAATTACTTGCCCACCTAAAAAGTATCCATGAAAAGGCCAATTTGTATTACACTTTTATCTTTCAAAGAAAGCAAGATGTATACGCATATTAAAACCAATACTGTAATTAATAGCAACAGGTGAGATGGTGGAGGCACCAAAAGAGAGGAATGGCACAGGTGGGAGTCTTGCCTCAATCCCAGAGGCTCCACTATGCCAGTGAATTGCTCCACAGGTGTTGTTAACCTCTTCCTGCCAGCAGTACACCCAATTTTTTTGGGGTGTGGGGACGATCAGAGTTTATGTAGCTTGCATTTATATCAAAAAGTCTTACCATGCACCAAAAGGATGACAATATTGGTACCAAGCAGACCTCACTAGGGGAGGAAGCTGATGGTCCTTGACCCTGTTGATAAAAACTATGTTATAGGTTAAGCTTTATCTACTGCATGACTTAGGGTGTGATCCTGTGGGATTTCTGCCCAACAGAAGGACGTCTTCAGGAATTATTTTTTTCTCTATTTTCCATGTCTCCAGCATATGCTACAAACTTACATGGCAGAGAATATACTTTCAATTTAAATGTGGCTTTCTTTGGGTGAGGTTCATACATATACGAAACTATGAGGAGACACATCAAGCAGTTCCTTGTATGCGTGAATGAGTCATTTTCATTGTTTTATGAATTGTTGTGAACTGCCCAGAGAGCTTCAGTATTGGGCAGTATAGAAAGGAAATCATAAATATTATTATTAACTATTACCATTTACTATTATATTACTATTATTTACTGTTACAATTTAATGCCAACAAAGGTTGCATATGACGCAAAATAATTTTCGATTATTTCACACACAGAACTGAGAGTCATTCAGCTCATTGAATAGGTTAATGGTTGTACATGTATGTGGGAACTAATATTTAGTAGAACTTCTTGAACAGCATTTCAAAAATAAAGATTTTACTTTATAAAGTGGTGTTATTACAACTGGCATACCTTATATTCCAGAAAGCTATGGTCTCTCTCTTTCTTTCTCTTTCTCACACACACACTGAAATAGTGATGTATTTTGTTAAAATGTTTTGGCTCAACAAACACGTAGGTGTAATTCTTTTCCAACCAGGACATCATCTCCAAAGGCAGCACTCTGAGCATGGAGGTAGACCGGCTCACTCTTCCTGCGCCACCGGAGAGGAGACATGCCTGTGGGCAGAAAGAGCCACCTAGTGGCCAAAGTATGGAATTGCAAGAACCTGCATGCTTGTTCCGAAATTTGTCAGATTTCAAGCAGAGTTAATATGGGAATTAAAGATCCAGACATTTAAAACCCAGGAATGGCTTGTGTAGGGCACTGATCGGGCAAGGGAGTGTTTCCTTCTCTCTACACCTATGGTGAGGCAGAGGTCAGTCTATTAGGGATGCAGACCCTCTCTCTTTATATATGTGTGTATGTTGTTTATGAAATGCTTCCATGTTCCCTCTGGCTTTAGCTGCAGTGCACACAGTACTGGAGAGGGGAGGGTTAGGGGAATGAATTTTTCCAGCAACATTAGCATTGTTAGCTGCTGTAATGCAGATTATTTTGGGGTGGCTTCATCTTGAATTCTGCCCCCATCTGATTAATAACAGGCTTGCTACATGGAGGTGTACGCGACTGCAACTGGCTTGTGGTATGGCTACCTGAATCTTGTGCTCTCCTCAAGGGCATCTCTGTGGGAACAGTCATGATGAGTGACTACATGTTGATATCCACCACAATGCCACAACTCTGGTTATCATTTGACTCCCAATTAGCTTCTTAGGGAAGTAATGCAGTTGCCTGGGGAAGAAGCAAATAGATGGGTCCAGGCAATGTGTCTGGCTTTGCAGCTAAGTGAGCATCTGCACCATTCTGGGCTTGATCTCCCTCATACGATACTTGAGAAGATCAAATGGAGGGGGATGACCCCTGAGATCTTTGGAGGAAAAACAGGATATGTAGTAAGCAAACAGACACAAACATAAGTAACAGTGGTGAAAATGCTGCTCTGATTTTTCACCATATTCTCAGGGGAAGGTGCTTTCCAGATGTTGGATTTTGTATCTTTAATTAATTTCCATATTGCCCAGTAACCACAGCACTTTGGACTTCAGCTCCCATCAACTCCTGCCAGTATGGCCAGTGGCCAGGGACATTATAAACTAAAATCCAACAAGATCTGGAGGGCAGCAGGTGGCTAATCCTACAGGGAACCACACTGGCTTTCAAAAATCAGATGTGTCAGGAGTGGGATTTGAACCCACGCCTCCATTCGGAGACCAGAACACCCCAAAGGGAAGTCAGTGCCTTGAGTCTGGCGCCTTCGACCACTCGGCCATCCTGACGCTCTCTCCGCTCGCTTCCTGCTGTCACCTTGGGCTCACCCTCGGCCCTTCCGCTCGGGAACCTGGGCCTGTCCAAACGCGGATGCACGGAGGGAAACAGGGGGAAGAGAGCATCCATGCAGATGCCAGCCCAGTGGTTAGAGCACCGGACTAAGATGCGGGAGGGCCGAGTTCTTGTCCCCGCTGGGCCACGGAGCTGCTTGGGCCAGCCGCTGATGCTCAGCCTCGCTGGATAAAAGGGCCGTGCAAACTGCCCGGGGTTCCTCCGAAGAAGAGGAAAGTCGGGACGCATGGGAATTAATGAGAACAACGTGCATGCTTTTCCCTCTTTTTCTCTCACGGACCCTCGAGGCATCCTTGGTTCTTGCCGCTACCCGCGCTCGGAACGAGGGAGCAGGAACGCGGCGCTGCTCGGCCCCCGCCCGGCCGCTTCCCGGCCGCCTCGCCAGGCCCGGAGAGGAGGCTGCGTCCCTCGCAGCCACCAGAGGGCTCCGGCTATCGCTTCGGGAAAGAGGAGCGCGGCGCTTCCCTCCTCTCGGCTCGGCGCTTCCTCCGCCCGGGGCGTCGTGCTTTGAGCTTCCTGGGTGACTCGGATGCAGCGGCAGAGAGACTCGGGCCAAATCCTGCTCCGCCGCCGCGACCGGCCCGCCCGCAGTGCCCGCCGGGGTGGGGGTGCGGGGGGCCCTTCCCGCGGACGGGCTTTGCGAAGGAGCCCTGCGGCTTGCGAGCGGCGCTCCCGAGGAGGATTCGTGGTCTGCGTCCCTGGCGGGGGATGCCTGGAGATTTAAAGGCAAAGGTTGGCTGTGGGGAAGGATGGGCAGGGGGTGTCTGACAGTACGTGGCCAGGTGTCCCTTTACGGAGGACCGCCCTCTCTTTCGAGGGCTGCCAGAGGACCACCTTCAATAGGAAGTCGGGTTTAAAGAACTGGAAGCCGTGTGGCCCATCGCAGGCAGGCAGGCAGGCAGGCCACCTGTTCGCCACCTTCCACCCTATGGTGAGATGTAGGGCATTCCTACTTAGATGGCCATTTCTTAATTTGCATCTCTCTGAGTGCATTAGCACCTACAAATTTTCTGCAAACCCACCTGCAAACCCTCTTTCCTTGTCTATTAGGTGAGGCATGTCCTCCTTTTGGGTAATGAATGAGTGCCCCCCCCCCACCTGGCTATCTTTACACTGCTGCTTGCTTTAGACTCGCAGTGCCCAGGAGCACACTGCATGGTTTCTCTTGGCAAAACCAGGGTAAACAAATTTCTGAGTGACCTCGGGATTGCAAGGTGTGGTTCCGAGTCTTATTTAACCTGTCTTAACTACCAGAACAAAAAGTATGGTTTTATTCCTTTATTTTTATTGTCATTCAAAATACCTAGTGTCTTTCAATCTACGGGTAAGACAGCTCACCAAGAAGATTATATTTGGATTTTGGGACTGTAGTCAATCATAAATTGGACATGAGGCAGCAGCAGAAGTGCAAAAAAAGGCAAATGTGATCTTACGCTGCTTTCCAAGTCATGGAAATTCCTCTTTGTTGTATACTACTCAGTCCTTAGCTTCAGAGCTGTGTTCAGTTCTGGGTGCCACATTTTAGGGAAGCCAGAGGCCGAGGATGTGAAGCCCCAGGTCTGGGTCCTCAATCCTGACTTCTAGACATTTCAACTTGGCCTTCTAGGGCTCCCCAGAAAGCCACGCTCCCTTCTTCCACCTCCACCCTCTTTACCCCATCAATGATGTCCCAGTTTTTCACCATTCTAAAAAGTTGACCGAATTTTGACCACTCTGGTGCTCCATTGTTGCTCTGGATACCATTAAAGAAAAACGTTTTGGGGTGGGGAGGTGTGGCCCTCTGTGTGTGTGCATGTCGGGTGGGGGGACAAAAATAGTTCCCAGACTCCTGACATTGCCCATCCCATAACTAAACATACAGGTAAAATGAAAGACAATTTATGAATGTTCCAAATAAACAGTTCAAAGCTTCACAGGCTCTCTGGAAGAGAATCTCTTTCACCTGGCATCTCAGTACCAAAGGAAGTGAGTCTGCTAGGAAGGAAGCCCCTTGACTTTGATGGTGCCACTGCTGAAAAGGCCCTGCCCAATGTGGCACTCTGATGGAGGGATCGAGTCAGAATAAAGCAGTTAAGGAAGATCCTTGCAAGTCTTTGCCTTAATATCTTTTAACCACCATGTTAGATTTCCAAGCAGGGTAGTTTTTAAAAGGGGATCTTTACCATCCTTTCAAAGCACACTTATGGGCAAAGGGAAGATGAATTGGCTCAGCATTGTACTGATATCTGTGTTTCCACCCAATAATTGTTTGTGAAAGGCACTGTGCATTTATCATCACAGTCTGTACTTTTTGGGCCTTAGTGCGCTCAGACAGCACAGCTTACATCTCTCTCCCTCTGCCCACAAACCTGCCAGTCCAAGGGCAGACAGTGTCCACACAAGCTGATGCCAGCATCTCTGTGTTAGTTTTTCAGGTGCCACACAATGCTTATTTTTGCTGTCACAGACTAGCAGATGTTTATTTTTGCTTTGGCAGCAATTGCTGCTCATGTCCACAAATGTAGAACTAGGAGATTATCGCTGGCTACCAGCTCTGAGCATCCTAATCAGGTCTTAGCATGTTTACTCCCCAAAAGTGGTTGCATTGCTGACAGGGAGGTTCATGCAATACGTAAGCTTTTCAGGGCCAATGTGATGTTGGGGAACACATACACATCCTAGCAATACCGACACAGATTGTCTTTTCTTCACCACCTGCTATGTTGGGAAAAGCACAACCGTTACGAGAAGCAGTTTCTGGGCAAGGAGCAGAGAGAGTGGGCAATGTGTGGGAGAGGCTTAAAGCGCCACAGGTGACTGCAGCAGGTGCTCTTCAGTGCCTAGGATGGCAATTTAAAGGCACGGTCTTAGCTGTGTCTCCTCAGAAGTAAATCTCAGCCTGTTCAGTGGGGCCTGCTCATGTCCCAGGTTAGCATATGTGAGACTGAAGCAGTGTGGTGAAATATCATCTCTTGAAAGAATCGGAAAAGACTTCTGATATTAGGAGCAAAGACTATACCTTCTGAAGTTAATATTGGGTGCAGGAATCTCTGTTTCAACATACAATTTTAGTAAGCCTAACTAAGGCTAGGAAGAGGTGTGTGAGGGGCCAGCTAACTCTGGAGCAGTCCTTCATTCTGAAATGCAGGTTTGGTGGCTCACGCTGGCCAGAAAGACACACACACAGGCCATGAAACACTTCCCATTGTCCTAGAACAGTGGATGATAGGCTGGGCTTCTTTGATGGGGGAACGTATGGTGCAGAGGACTGCCCCTTGGCACTGGAAATGAGTCCTAGACTTGAGCACTGATTAATATTTGTTTTTCAGCGCCAAGCGAAGACCTTTTTATTTAAACGTCATTTTAATTGTTAACAATATTTGCTTATTTATCTGGCCAGGGTGACTTCTTTTATATTGTTATTTATTTTATATTGTTAATTTTATATTGTTATTTTTGTATTTTATTGTATTTTATTTTATGCTGTGAGCAACCCCGAGGCTTCGGCAAGGGGCGGCATAGAAATGTTTTAATAAATAAGTAAGTAAATAAATAATATTAAGTCCTGCTTTGCTGACGACACCGGGTCAGCTCCACTCATTCCAAGGCCAGCTCCAGCCACCCTGTGCCTTGTTTTTCTTGCATAAATTTAGCTATTGTTACTGATGGCAGTCCTGATTGTCATCATCGTCATCGTCATTCCTCGTTGTGTATGGTGCTGGGTGGAGATGGGTGCCTGCCTCGAGGAGCATTCGGTTAAAATTTGACAAAGGGTGACAACAAAGGCAGGAAAAGAAGATGAATTAAGATTTCACATCTGTATGGGATGCAGATGCAATCTCTGTTACAGTTCCCCAATTCCAATTTTTTCAGCCCCGGTAAATTGCAGGCAAATCTCTCTCTCTCTCTGCTTCTCCAGGTACCACAAAGAACCACTTCCTGCTACTCAGGTAAGTGATGTTGGTTGAGGGTTCAAAGAGGTACAGCCAGTGCCCAGATGTGTCAGAATACAACTCCCACCATCCCCAACTAGCACATATTCTTAGTGCAGCACAGCTGGAGGGGGAGGGGAAGCTGGGGATGCTGGGCTGGGAAAGGGTGTCTTACTGCCTCCCTAGCTGCCTACTGGCCTTGGAAAACCAGTAAATTCAAGCATGTGCCCCTCCTGTCAGGCAGTTCAAGCAGCAGTGCTGTACCCGCTTACCTGGGAGCAAGGCCAATTGAAATAGCGTGTTTCACTTCTGAACACTTATTTACAGATTGCAAATAAGAAAGAATAATGAACAGGAATGAAAGAAAATGGATTCTGCCTCCCCTGTTTCCTATTGCTATAACAGGCAAGTTCAGGCCTTGTTAGTGATCTTATACAGGAAAAGATCAGCATTTCCTTTCCTCGAGGGCTACTCTGCATTAGTGGGAAAGAGCCAAGACCATGTTGTCTGGCAAGCCTTGTTGTTTGAGGCACTCCCTTCACACTTCTGCTTTGCTTCTGGCTTGGCAACCTCTTTTTGACTTACAACACACACACTTAAGTTATGAAAAGGTTAAGCCAAGCATATCACATTTGTCAAATCCAGTATTTTTATATTCTTTTCTTCTATACTTATCTAAATCCACTACTATTCATATGTGGGATTGTTGTATGTACAAACAAACATGGCTAGAATCAGGAAAAAATGTTTTAAAGAAAATGCGCTTTCATTAAAGGCACTCCAGGGCAATTTTGGCAAAAGGATGCTTTGTTGTTTCAGATGCCAGAGGCCTCCAAGGTCAAAACTGTGTTTCATGCAAGAGCTGGGGAGACCTGCTGGAGCGGCCTGCGCTGGAATATCATGCAGGAGAATTATGAGACGCTAATTTCTTTGGGTAAGGAGCCATCTCGCCTGCAAAAAGGGGCTAACCCTATGAACCGCCTTCTTGGATTAAACCAAAGGTATCTCAAGTCCTATATTCTATGGTCCTGAGATATTTCTGCTTTGGGCCCAGATACAAATGGCTCAGAGTAAAAATAAAAAGTAATTTGCCCGAGTAAGCACAAAGCAAAGGCAGGGCTTTTGCTCTGGAGCACACCACCACCATCTTCTAAAAACAAAAGCTTTACTTCGAAAGATGCTTAGGAGAGCAAATAAAGATCTGAAAGGGGGAGGAGCCTGGTGGGAAATGAGAGGTGCCTGCAGGTGCCTTGGGGTCCAGGGGCACCCTGTTGGAGACCTCAGAATTGCACCTCAGGGTGGTGACAGAAAGCTGGCCTTGCCACACCACTGAGCAAGCCAGCCAGCCAGCCCGCCCGCCCTGTGTGTGTGCCAGTGTTGCCCCTTAATCCTTTCCGTTAGCAGAAGAGATGGCCATCAGCCTGCCTCGGATCACCGCACTGGCTGATTCCCACCGGAGAGGACTGGCAGCGGGTGAGTCATTTGCTCAAAACACGGGAAGAATGGCTGCTGCCCCTCTCGGCCTGTTTGCTGTGCCCAAGAAGCCCCTGTTCTGCACTCTGGATAAAATCTGCAAACCGGCATCCGGTAATGCAGATCAGAGATTTGCTTACACATATATTTGGGAATATTTTGGCAGAAGCAGAAAAAAAAGGGGTACCGTGAAGGCAGAGGGCAGCTTAGTGATGCAGGCATTTGGTTGTCTTAACTCTGTAACTAAAACAGGGAATCCCTGTTGGAAATAGGTGGGAAAGCCTATTTAACTGAAAACCCGCTGAGTTTCTATTTAAATCCCAGATAAGCGGCATTCATCAGTGATACTGTTGAGAAATTCTGTAGGGTCGCAGACTCAGAACAAGGAGAGCCCTGCTGGGTCTGATCAGAGGCTGTTCTAGTCCAGCATCCTGTTTCCCACAGTGGTCAAAAAGATGCTTACAAGCAAGATAGGAGCACCACAGCCCCTTCTGCTCATGTTCCCCAGTAACTAGTGTATTGGAGCGCACTGCCTCTCGCCCTGGAGGTTGCTTGGTGCCCATCATGGCCAGTAGCCGTGGATGGCCTTCTCCACGAATGTGTCCAATTGCCCTGTAAAGCCATTTAAGTCGGTGGCCATCTAGTGAATTCTATGCTGAGCTGTAATCCCAGTGGGGCTGACTTCTGCGTGGCTCCATAGAGCAGCACTGCCGAATCGCAGGCCTGGGGGCCAAATCCGGCCCTCGTGGTGTCCACATCTGGCCCTTCAGGGTTCCACAGAAGGCCACCCCCCTGCTTGAAATGCCTCTCCTGAGACTCGGCTACTGGCAGCAAGAGCGTTAGGCTGGAAAAGGCCGCTCTTCTGGCCCCACTGCTTTCTCTTCTGCCTTGCTCACCACTGCAGCTCTCTTGGAGCGTCCGTGATGTGGAATTTGGGCATTGGGCGGAAAGAGGTTTCGGCACCCTGGGTGCAGGATCGTGCAGTGTCCCTTGTGCAAGCAAAGCACAGGAGAGCAGCACAGGTTGGAAGAGGGACCAGGCGCTGCTCATGGGAACAAAGTGCAGCCTTTCTTATTCCCATCGGCAGGATTTCCACTTGCAAAGCCTGACCTGCTTTCCTGGATGGACCGTGGAGAGGATCCCTGGGTGCCAGACCTTCAGGAATCGGAAGGAAGGCAGGTGCCGACTGACACCAGTCCAAGTGAGTTACACAGAAAATACAACCACAGCGGGGCTTAAGGGCAGCTTCCTATTTCACCGTGCAGAAGTTCCTGCGAGGGAGACCTGAAAGAAGCAATGTGAGAGCCGTACAAATAGTACGAGTGAAGCCCTTTCGGTCACTTGCAGCCATGCACGACTGGTTCACACCGACATTCTTCTTATTATTTCAAGCAGTCACTTAGATGTATGAATTGCTTGAAGAGACTCCTTGGTCACCTTTTGGAGCCATGCCCTCACAAAGTGGCTTCCAGTCGGTAAAGCAAAATACAAAATGAAACTCAGACAACAGTAATGCAGTTCTTTTATGCAACCATCTGTAAAAATAGCAGCATATAAGGCTTAATAATGAAGGGATGTAGGTGGTGCAGTGGTTTAAACCACTGTGCTGCTGGGCTGGTTGATCAGAAGGTCGCCGGTTCGAATCTGCACAACAGGGTGAGTTCCCATTGCTCCTTCCCAGCTCCTGCCACCCTTGCAGTTCGAAAGCATGCAAATGCAAGTAGATGAAAAGGTACCACTTCAGTGGGCAGGTAACAGCGTTCTGTGCACTTCGGAGTTTAGTCATGCCGGCCACATGACCACGGAGACTGTCTGCGGACAAGCGCTGGCTCCCTCGGCTGGGAAACGAAGATGAGCACCGCCCCCTAGAGTCAGGCATGACTGGACTTAATGTCAAGGGGAAACCTTTACCTTTACCTTAAGCTTAAAAATAAGAGGCAGAGCAATCCTATGGCTGCTCAGAAGTGCATAGGGAGCCATAGGATTGCGTGGATCCCCAGCTAGCAGGTGGGAAAATTGCTTTGCTCTCCCTGCCTGCAGCCGGCATGGAAAGAACTGTGCCAGCCGCGTCCTTGAGGTTGCCGGAATGACCTTGGAGGGGCTTTTGTGGACATGCCAGGAAATGGGGTTCGGAGCAGACCGGCACTGCCAAGATACCACGTGCTCTGGAGGCAGCTTGGCCTCCATACTTAGGGGGCTGAAATCAGCTAAGTGTTTTGCCTGCCAAGAGGAGCACAGAGGTGCTCTTTGCCCTCCCGCTCCTTCCATCTCCGAATGTGGAGGGTTACAAGCATCCCGAAAGGATTATGCCCTAAAACTATTCTCAAGCAACATAAAAACAATTTAAAACAGCAGCTCCCAGTGTTGTCAAAGAAAGAGGCTGGGTCCTCCAGTCCACAGGCTGAATGTAGCCTGGTCTGGACCTTCCACCAAGCCCTGTCCCTCCAAGAAAGAGGTCCGTGCCTAGGATGGAGGAAGAGCAGGGCCCGTTCTCTTTTTGCGCCTGGCCACCCTCGGCCCTCTCTCTCTGAGGAGAGAAATGCCAGTAGTAATTGTTGAATGAGAGTAATCAACTTCCAGTTAGCTCATTGTGGCAAGGGAGGAGGTGGCTCAAGGTGGCGTCGCTTTTTCTCCCCAGCTGAGGAGCTGCGAAGCAAGAATGAGGACATTCCTCCACCAGAAGCTCCCAGCAAGAGGGACCCCCTGGCCGAGGGTGCCCTGGAGGGGACTCCAGACGACCTGGAGACTCAGGCAACGGGGATGCGACTGAGGCACTCCACAGCGGAAGGGAAGGAACGGCCTGGCAGCCCCCACCCACAGGCAACGGGGGCTGCCAAGCCGCTGCTGCTCCCTTGGAGAAAACAGGGGGGCGAGGGGGGCCACCAGTGCTCCGAGTGCGGCAAAAGCTTCAGCCAGAAGTCCAACCTCCTTCGGCACCAAAGGCTCCACCTGGACGAGAGACCCCACAAGTGCGACGGGTGCGAGAAGAGCTTTGCCGAGGCTGAGGCCCTGGCCAAGCACCGCCGGTGCCACGCAGGCGACAAGCCCTACAAGTGTGGGGACTGTGGGAAAAGCTTCAGCTGGACCTCGCACCTGGAGAGGCACCGGCAGATCCACACGGGCGAGAAGCCTTTCGTGTGCCAGGACTGCGGGAAGGCCTTCAGTGTCGGGTCACACCTGGAGAGGCACCGGCGGATCCACACCGGGGAGAAGCCCTACCAGTGCCAAGAGTGCGGGAAAAGCTTCACTGTCAGCTCCACCCTGGTGCAGCACCAGCGGACGCACACCAACGACAAGCCCTACCAGTGCCTGGAGTGTGGGAAGGGCTTTGGCCTCAGCGCTCACCTGGCGGCCCACCAGCGGAAGCACCTGGGCCAGAAGCCCTACGAGTGCCCGGAGTGCGGGAAGAGTTTCAGCTTCACGTCCCACCTGGAGCGGCACCAGAGGATCCACACGGGGGAGCGGCCCTACCAGTGCCCGGACTGCGGCAAGAGCTTCAGCCGCAGCTCCCACCTCTACCGGCACCAAAGGATCCACACGGGCGAGAAGCCCTGGCAGTGCGCGGAATGCAGCAAGAGCTTCTACCTCAGCGCCGCCACCCTGCACCACCTCCAGGTGGCCCCGGACGGCGGCAGAGACCCCGCAAAGTGTGCGGAGTGTCGCCGCAGAAAGGCTGCCCCCGATCCCCCGCCCCCACCCCCGCCCCCGCCGCCCCCTTGCAGCGAGAAGCCCTACAAGTGCCCCGACTGCGGCAAAGGCTTCGGCCAGAGCTCGTCGCTGGTGAAACACCAGAGGATCCACACGGGGGAGCGGCCCTACCAGTGCCCGGAGTGTGGGAAGAAGTTCAGCTGGTGCTCGGCGCTCATCAAGCACAAGAGGATCCACACGGGAGAGAAGCCCTATCAGTGCGAGGAATGCGGGAAGGCCTTCAGCGTCAGCTCCCACCTGGAGCGGCACCAGCGGGTGCACTCCCCGGACCGGCCCCACAAGTGCCCCGAATGCGGGAAGACCTATGGGGAGCTGGCGTCTCTCGTCAAGCACCAGAAGTCCCACGCGGCTGACAGCAAGCGCTACCGGTGCGCCGACTGTGGCAAGAGCTTCAGCTGGAGCTCCCACCTGGAGCGGCACCGGCGCATCCACACGGGCGAGAGGCCCTACGCCTGCCCGGACTGCGGGAAGCGCTTCAGCGTCAGCTCCCACCTGGAGCGGCACCGGCGCATCCACACGGGCGAGAGGCCCTACCGCTGCGGCGAGTGCGGGAAGAGCTTCAGCGTCAGCTCCACCCTGCTGCAGCACCAGCGCACCCACTCCAGCGGGAAGCCCCACAAGTGCAGGGAGTGTGGGAAGCGCTTCGTGGCCACCGCGCAGCTGCTCACGCACCAGCGGACCCACCAGGGCGAGAAGCCCTACGCCTGCGGCGAGTGCGGCAAGAGCTTCGGCTTCGTCTCCCACCTGGAGCGGCACCGGCGGGTGCACACGGGCGAGAGGCCCTACCAGTGCCCCGAGTGTGGAAAGTGCTTCAGCCGCAGCTCCCACCGGAACCGCCACCAGCGGACGCACGTGGCCGACCGGCCCCCAAAGTTGGGGGGAGGAGCCCGAGCGGGGAAAGCCAGCCCCGCCGCCTCCTCCTCCTCCTCCCACACTAAGCACCGCAAGGAGCTGGCCCCTGCTGTTCCCGAAGCCCCGGTCTCTCTCATGCCCCCTTGGTGGGGCGAGGGGGACAGGAGCAGTAACCCTCCAGCTGCTTCCATGTGGCCAGAGTTCCCAGCTCCCTTCCAAGGCCCCAGTCCCAGCGCTGCCCCGGTGGGGGGCCTGAGGGGGTGGGGAGTGAAGGGCTTCTTGCCTCCGGACACGTGGAGACTGGGGGAAAGCAGCTCCAGCTGGGCATCCAGCCTCGCCCAAGAGGGCTGGCCACAGCTGCCTCCCACATCTTAGGGGTCTCGCACTTCAATTTCCGGAGCCATCTGGGGGCAGGGGGGGCCGCCATCTACCCGTCCTCCTTTCCATCAATTCAGAGAGCTGATTCAGTCATTCTAAGGAAGCACATGCTAGAGTCCTGCTGGGATGGTGGGTCCTGCTGGGATGATACCACTTCAGGACTGGGGGTGGGAGAATATCTGAGCGCTTGCTCTCATAAAAAGATCCCTGCTGGTAGAGGGCTCGCATGTTAAGGAGAAGAAGGCTAAGCTGGGCTCCCTTCTGGTTGGTTTCTTCTGATATATGGTGGATTCAGTGGTGCCTGCATCTCTGCATCCCCGCACCTTCTTGGGTGATAACAGTCCTAGCTGGAATGTGCCGGATGCTTTTTCTGATCCTTTGGAACTGGCTTGTAAACCTGGTTTGTTGGGAATGGGCTGAAAGGCTGCCATGAGCCGAGCCGAGCTGAGCACACCACACAGGCACGTTCCTGCCCCAGCAACCACTGTTGGTGCAAGCACAGCGTTGAACCTTTGCGGAGGAGCCCCTTCTGTCCGGCGCCCTCCCTAACACCCAGGGACAGGACCAGAGGAGGGTTGGAAAGAAACAGAGGGCCCTTATTCGGAGCAGCAAAGAAATTTTTACTAGATCAGAGAGCTTTTGTGTAGACTGCCTCCTTCCTTTCTGGTGTTTTGTTACAGCTGGAAGAAAGAGGGAGTTTAGGCTGTAACATCACTGGTAGAGCCCCTGCTTTGCCTGCTTGGCATCTCAGGAAGAGCTTGGGGAGGCCCCTGCTTGAGTCCTTGGAGAACCACTGCTCGGCAGGGTGGACCCCCCCCATATCTGCCCCCCCAGATGTTTTGGACTACAGTCCCCATAATCCTGGACCATTGGCCATGCTGACTGGGAGTTGTGATTCCACACATCTGGAGGGATCTTTGTTGGGGAAGGCAGGCCTGGGGTGTCCGATATCTCCGCGTTGTGCTCATCAGCTCCGAACTGATCACAAGCAACGGGCCCTGCATTGTCTTATGACCGAAGTGGGGAACCCTTTTTGTGTGAAGGCCAGGTGCCATTTTGGAGAAGCTTGGGGGGGGGGGGCACACTCCCGCGGGGGGGGGAGCCACAGGGAAAGAAGCCGGGGTTTACCCCCCCCCCCCCCACAATTCCATTGTTAGCCTTTCACAGAAGGGAGCGAGTTTGTTCACCAGTAGGCAGGGCAAGTCTCTGGCTGTCTCCTGAGGAGGAAGCAGGACTGAACCTCTGAGCAGCACTTTCAGGAAGCACCCCAGATACTCAGCCTGGGTGCATCTACTTAGAACTAAGCATTTCCTGTCTACTCAAAAGTAGGCAGATCAAACCGCTGCAGAAAGTAGGACTGAACCACTTAGTGGCTTCCTGCCCTGGTGCCTCGGTCGCTCAGGGAAAAAGCTTCCATCTTCAGTCAGAGAGGGCGTGTGGTGTGGTGGTTAAGAGCGTGGGACTGGGACTCAGGCGATCCGGGTTCCAGTCCCCACTCGGCCATGGAGCCAGCTGGGTGACTCTGGGCCAGTCACAGCCTCTCAGCCCAACCTGTTATTACTATGCTTTATGTTATTGTTGTGTTTTATGTTGTAAACAGTTCTGAGAATGTTTCCTATAGAAGGGTCTATAAGAACTTTAATTTAAAAAATAAAATAATACCTCACAGGGCTGTTTATTAACTTATTTATTAGAGGTACATCCCACATTTTCATTTTCCACCTCCTGCTCTCCATTATATCCCCACTACAACAACCCTGTGAGGTAGGTTGGGCTGAGAGTCTGTGACTGGCCCAAAGTCATCCAGTTGGATCCATGGCTGAGCAGGAACCAGAACCCAGATCGCCTGAACTCCAGTCCTGCTCTCTTAGCCACACTGGCTCTGTTGTGAGGATAGGTTGTGTAAGCTGCCTTCAGTTGCTTGTTAGGAGAAAAAAAGCAGGATATAACTATAATCAATCAAATTGCAGCTCTGAATTACCAGATCCTGACTGGGATCCTCATTGTCTGTTAAACTAGTATTAGGGCTACCGTTATAGGAAGTATTGCATTGGAACACCAGTATTGTCCACCAATACCCTAATTGTTTTAAACATCTTTTCACACCAGATTTTGGCCTGTAATATATTCTCTTTGGCTTCAACTGGATAGTTTGACTGAGGTCTGGTGGATTCTTCAGAAGACATTCAGGAGGACGCTCCTGTGTCAAGACTGCTTTTCTGCTTGTCCCGCAGTGCAAAGCGTGTTGGGTTTCCACTACTGGCGCAGCTGCAGAGCCCAGCTGGAAAGTTGGCAACCCCTCCTTTCTGGCTTGTGCTTCTGAATGGGTGTCATCCTTACCACAGTGATATGCACTTCAGGCACAGGCTGGAGCAGGGCTCTCTGGGGCTCACCCCCGCCCCCCACTCCAAATGTATTTTTAAGTCTCGGACCTAGTCAGTGAAACTATAGTAAAGACAGCCTCAGAGCACATGCAAGGTGCATTTCCACCTACATTCCGCCTGCCTACCAAGGCCACTATCCCAATGTATTTCCTAAGCAGGAAGCCCCATTGAACACACTGAGGTGAACTTTTGTTTGGTCTCATTCCGCGGGACTGCATGCTACAGCAAGGTTGCTGGTGCACAAGAAAGCCCTGTGTATTCCAGATGCGCTTCCTTGGATGGAGTGAGGAACCGCTTCCAGCTCAAGGGCAAGTTCGGTCTCCGCGCAAGGTCCCCAGGTCCCCATTCTTGCCGCAGGTGGGCTGAAGGAAGGGGGCTCCTGGCAGCTTGAAAGCTCTTCTGGCCAGCAGCTAAGCTTTGGGTGAGGGATTTCCACCTTTTAGAATGGGGGAAAATACACAAAGGTCAAATAATGTGGTTGAGCGGAAGGGGTGGGGCCAGGGGAAAGGGGTGGCTATCTGGGGAACCCAGATCTGGCCCTTGGACCTCAGACCACCTGCATCTGCCACAAAGGAACACAGAACCAGCACTTTTAAAGTGGTGAAAACTGTCCCTGCACACAAATGCCTTTTGATAATAAAAAGGATACTTAGCACTTTCCCCAAAGTGCTCTTCATGCATTATTTCAGCAGTCATCCAAGAAACCTTGTAAGGTAGGCCAGTATTGTCCATGGAGGGGGCACTGCTGTTGATGGGGCATGGCGGCTGGCCTGGGGCCATCAATCTGTGACCTATGACTGACTCCTTTCCTTTGGTTTGCAAGCTTCTGAAGTGGTAACATCTGGAGAAATAAACTGGACGAGTTGCTCCTCTACAAGCCCAGTAGCCAAAGCTGAACAAATACAAAGGGCTTCACCTAATGTCACAATTGGAAGGACACCCCAGGCAGCCACAGAACTGAGAAAACCCTTCCTCTGCTCACACCGTCCGCCTAACTTCAGAAAGCCAAAGGGCACTGAGGTGGCAGAGCCAGTAATGGGGGTCAGCATCCCTGGGCACTTGCAGAGGCCCACACCCCAGTAAAGGCCCCGGTGCCAACTCCTGCTGGCTTTCCTTCTCCCATCTGCCATTGCCTAACTTCTATTCTTTGTGTGAGCAGGGACAAAAGCAAGGAGAAAGAGCAGCTGCTCTGCTCATCCTGCTCCCACCGTTTGGAGAGCTTGTATCCACAGGGACCAAGATGTTCCTCTTGTCCAAGATCCCACCCTCCCGAAACCTGGAGCTGAGAAGGTTCTTTGTACCTCTGTCAGGCTCATGTGGGAGGAGACTATGCTAGAACTGGATTTGTTATAAGAAGGAGATTTCGGATGCCATATTGGTTGATGGCAAAGCCCATCCATCCATTCTCCACCCTGTTAAGATAGCCAGGCTGGCAAACAATCCACATAAAATCATTCAGCATACAAACACCATTACAATCATAACCCTACCATTACAAGGATAAGGAAGTACAATAAAACTGTCAAGAAAGTTCTTCCTATAACTCAAAGACCGGCACAAAGCTTCGCACGAATGGCTCCAACAACATGGGGCCCAGCCGTGTGTGCTGCCCCTGCCTCGTGTAAGAGCAGCGTGGCCCGGAGAAGCGGCCACCATGACCCTGACACAGCTGCCTCCTCACCGCCTGCGTCACCTGCTGCGCTTGATCCCGGTCACTCACCTGGCCGGCGGAGAGCCAGTGGCATCAGCTGCTGCTCCTCTGCACCATCACTGCTGTCTCTGCCAGGGCAAGGATGAGGTGACCAAGGCTGGGGGCCTTGCCAGTGAGCCTCTGCTGGGCCATGGGAAGGTCAAAGGAAAGAGATCTCTTAGGGGAAATGGATAGTTCCTGCAGGTCAAGAGTGTTAGAATTGATCTTTGGACCTGTGTGATCTTTGGATCCGAGTTTGTATCCCACTACAAGGCAGAGTGATCGGAGAGTCTTGAGTCAGCTACTTTCTTTTCGCTTCAGTTCCCCTCTTTACAATGGGAATCAGAGTGACACTCCTTACAGAGTTATCATGGACATGAAAACTACAGTTCACTTTGCTCTTTAGAAAGCTGAGCAGGTAAAGGAATAATCTCTACTGGCTTCCCATTTCCCCTCTCCTAGGCCAACATGGGACACAATTTTGCAGCAATCTTCAGGGGCTCAAAATTCTGATGCTGAGACCCACACTTGAAGTGCTTTCAGCAAAGACGTTCTTCACCACAAGACTTGGTTTGGGGTGCTGAGCACACCAGTTCCTTAGTTTTCTCAGTCATCTTTCTGCATCCATCAATCAGTATCTGTCCGATTTTGTTGCTGCTTTCTGGATTCTCCTTGGTGCTATTTTTATTATTGTGCTTCTGTGTTGTGGTGGTGGAATCACTGTATTCCTAAATGAACTCACTTCATCCAAAGTTCAGGAAAAAAATTAATGTAACCACTCTGAATTTTTAGACTCAATTCTCACACACTGTTGAGGTTAATGAACCTCAATAAAAGGAAAATCCTCACTAAAACACCAAACGTTTTTCAGGTTTGGGCTGTCTGTCTCAAAAGGGCTCCTAGTTTTCTAGCAGCAGATCAAGCCTTTCCCATGTCTGCTTTGCCACGCTGGGGGAAGCTTCACCTGTTGCATTTCAGGCTATGAGCCAGCCACTAAAGGCACCTTTGATGAATTCCTGTTTCCCTCAGTTAATTTTAAAACAAACAGTCTGGGAAGGTGCGAGCTAGGACTTTTAACATAAAACAACCTCGCTAGATCAGACCAAAGGCCCCCTACTCCAGCATTTTATTGACACAGTGGTGCATGGCAGACGCACCCCCATGCCCAAGTTCGCCCGCAACTGGTGTACTGCCTTCGATACTGGAGGCAGCCCAGAGCCATCAGGACGAGTAGCCACAGAGAGCCCTCTCCGCCTTCATAAATTCGTCCAATCTTCTGTTGAAGTTGTCCAGACCGGTGGGCATCACTACAGCTCGAGAAGGTGAATTCCTTTGTTTAACTCTGCGCTGTGTGACGAAGCACTTCCTTTGATCTGTCCGGACCCTCCCACCAATCATCTTAATAGGATGACTCCAGTGACTTCTACTATTAAGGAGTAGTAACAGTAATGGGGGGGGGGAGGCGGTCTCCTTACCACTTGTCGCCTAATCAAGCCTTTTCCTAATTCCTGCCTAAATCAAGCTCTTCTGCGAGGAAGCCAATGTGTGTAAATGTGGAAAAACGGGTTGTTCCCTCGCAGCCCATTTCCCTAAAGAAAATGAAATTTAAAAGTACGGGGAAAGAGGAGGGGACGGAGTCGTGAAATTATGAAAACGCTAAATAAACAGTCCCCGACTGAAAACGAGAAAGAAATTAGAAGAGGCAACGACAGAAGAAAAACGCAGCTCCTCGGCTTAATTTCCCGGGTAACGCGGCAAGCGAACGAAGCTGGGGGCAAAATGCGGGAAGCTGATTGGCTTTCGGGAGCAGGGCGGACCCGAGTGGAACCCCCAGGAGGAAGTTAAGAGCGCGAGGCGGCGGGCGTGCAGCTGGAATTGCGCATTTTGCAGGGCGTAGGAGCGATTACTATCGCGAGTGGCTCTCTGCGGCTGGCTACGATGGAAGAGCGTGTAGGAAAGCTGAAAGAAATGGCAAACAAAGTCGTGACGCTGATGCGGGGCATGGCCGCTTTGAAAGAGGACTTGCAAGCCGAACTCGGCGAAGGCTAGTAGTGCCTCGCTCCGGGGCGCTTAATCGCGTTTTGTAAATGCTGTTGATGATGCTCGTGGCACTGGGATAAACTTTTCCGAGAGGCTGGGAAGGGGCAGCTTGCATTAGTTTCTCGTCGCGGTCCAGCTAGGTGAAAGCTGGGATAAATTCTGCAGAAGGTGATCCATGCAGCGTGTTTAGGCAAGAAAAGAAAGAAGAAAGCCCTGCAGCTCTCGGCTTTCCCTAGCCACTCATAGGGCTTTGCCTGCCTGCTAAATTTAAAACAAGGATCTTAAAGAGGGTTATGCCCTTAGGCCTTAAAGGAGCTGCAAGACCGTGGGTTTTGCCTGAAATTGAAGGTTACTCTCTTAAAG